GGCCTTCTCTTTGGCTCTTCGCGTCTGGTGTTTTGACGCAGGTATCGCCATCTTTATGGTGTTCAGGTGGCTTTGTTGACGGTGTCCCACCTGCGAGCTTCGTCTTGGAGACTATGACGTTTATTACGTCTTCTCGCGTTTTGTTTCCCCTCCGGCCTGCTCATGAGTCGCCTGAGCCATCCTGGTCCTTGTTCAGGGTGCCTTCTTCTCTTCCCCTCAGTTTGTGGTAGCCCCTTCGGTTTCAGTTTCCTCCTCTTTGGTACTGGTGGTAGCTTTATTGGTGTGCAGCCTTTCTCTGTCCTGGCGACGGTCGAGACGGCTGCTTTCCGGAGGGGTTCTTGGGGTATTGGTACTGGTTTGGTTTGGCCGGGGGGTGCGTCCTGTGTTGTCCAGTTGTGCTTTTTGCTGTTGCCGGCGTGCCGTGCCTGGGGATGCGCTGTGGTTGATCCGGTTCCTTCGTTCCCTGTTTTCAGGGCTCGGGTCTCCCGGGTCGTCCGCAGTGTTTTCCTTCTTACTGCGGTCTGTCTTTGCGCCCGTGCTGTTCAGACGTTTGCAGCAATTGCTGCTGTGTTGGTGACGTCTCGGGCTCATTTCGGGCGCAGGGAATTGTGGGTCGCACAGGTTTTTGGCCGCCCATCCTTGTGTGCGTCTGTTCTTGGGCGTTCTTGTTGCCTTGGGTCGCAGGTTTGCGACCGGTTGTCTTGGCTTTGCGTTGCAGAGTTTGTGGCGGCCGCCTCCCGGGTTAGCCCTTTCTTTTCCTTCTCTTTGGGTATGAAGCTCCAGGGAGCCGTAGGGGCTCCCCACAGAAAACCAGCGTTGAATGTAATGAAACGCCATTTTCTGGGTGAGCCCCGGAGGCTCCCTGGAAACCCTCCCTCCCACCGGTCGGCGGTTTTTTCGCGTTGGTTGACGCTTAGCTTCCGAACTGGAGCTTGGCAGCCGGCGCGGTAGGTCCGGGGCTCCCCCCTCCCCCTCCCGGGGTGGGGAGGGCTGCGCGGACGATCGGCGCGGCAGTAAAGTGTGATGTTTGCTTGTTTGCTTGTTTCCTTGGGATTGTAGGGAGTTTTCTACCTCTCTGTTCGGTTTTTGTTGTAGTTTCTTACCATGTGGGGTTTGTTTTGTTACGCCTACCTTTCTGGGTGCCTAACCCCGGTCGATGGCAGATAAGGAAAACCCCCAACCATATGGGGTTTTCCAGGGCCATTGCTCCCTGAAACCTCTCTGAAGGGGCCAGGTTCTGGCGCTGGTCCCTGGTAGGTCTGAACTCCTTAGCTAATGTCCCGGTCTAACATAACACACATTAGCCCGATAAGCTCCAGGGAGCCTCCGGGGCTCACCCAGAAAATGGCGTTTCATTACATTCAACGCTGGTTTTTTTTTCAATGGAGCAGCTGTGAGGGAGGGAATATTGAGCATTGTTACAGATACTCAACTCCCCTCATCTCCTGCCACTTCCCAAACTTTCCCATCATTCACTGCTATTACACACTTTTGTAAGAATATATTAAGGCAAAAATCATATAATAAATTAATAATTAATTGTTATTTATGAATTTTGTGTAAATAGAAATTGTATTTCTACTATCTTTCATGGTATTTAGGGTGGCATAGTGTTACTATGGTCAGAGACATGTTAGCAGGCAGCAGTGTGTCAGTGAGGGTTACCTTGCGTTACATTGATTTCGGGGCTCAACATCCCCGCAGCCCGGTCCCTGACCTGGCCTGACCAGCGTTAGTGCAATTTTGGTGACACTTCTATTCTTGTGGTTATTCACATCTTTTCCATTTCATTTGTGGATGCTTGCATACATAATCCTTGTACAGTATTTATTCGATATTTCGCTTTATTCATGTTCTATGGTGCAAGGCTTCAGTACCATACTGCTGAAAATTGGGGAATTGTGTGCAATATATATATATGTAGCTTCTGTTAAAAATATAGCAGCATAATTTGTGTTCTTCTGAGTAGGGCTTTCCATATCTTTCCTTGCTGTGTCCAAGGCTCATCCAGGACATGCTGAAAACATTATTTTTAGACCGATACTTTGGAAATTTGCCGTGGTTGGTTGTCTGGCTTTGGTACCTGGGGGGTTAGTGTGTCACGTCTCCAATGGTCGAGGCTCTCTGGTGTTCCTAGCTGGTGTTGAGCTTGATCAAGGCTTGTGCAGTTTTTCATTATTATTCTGTTAGGAAATGTTAAGTACACAAATGCATAATCATACAAACCTGGGGGTTATACTGGGTACTGTGACAGCCATGTTTCATCAGATGTCCTCTCTCTCTTGTACATGCTCTCCCTGTTTGGTGTATCAGGCTGCAGCATCCTGCTTGTTGAGCCCTGGATCCTTCAAAGTGTGTGCTTCAAGTTCTTGGTTGTGTACCTGATCATCGGGTGGGCCACAGATATGCTGGTGGGTGCCCAGTTTTCTGTGATGTGGCAGGTGCTTGTCCTGTATTGATGCATGTGCCATTGTGCATTTATTTCTGCCATTCTGTATCTAATTTGGTTGGGTACTTTTCCGGTATGATGTCCAAGAACGTAAAGGCATTTCACTTGGAAAATTGTTTGGTCCCTGGAAGGTTTGTTTGGCTCTGAAGGCAGTCCCCTGCATTCCAGGTGTGTGGTATGTTTTCAGGGTGCATCCCCTGTTTGGCTGGGGCATACTTTCTGTGTTTCGCCAATTTCCCAGGAGATTGCCAGGCACTGTAGAGGATATTTTCCATTCTCTAGAGAGGATCCTCAACTTCATGAGAGGGGTGTCCTGTTTCTCCCTGATATACTGAATGCATACAACATCTCTCCATGTGTGTACCCAGTGAGTTTTTTCCCCAGTTCTCTGGTTTTTGTGCATTGGCTCCTCTGCTTTGTGTCATCTTGGTGATCAGGACTGCCCAATCATCCCAGTATCCTTACGACAGGAGCATTAATAAGGTTTTCTGGACCAACTGGGAGGGTTGCACAGCTAGCCAGTGTGTTTGCTGGATTCTCTTGAAGTTTCCCTATGCTCTGTTTTGGTAAATGGATGCCTGTGGGTTCTTGGGACTTTGTAATGTGCCCTGGTCTTGGGCTGCCAGAGGGAGGTTTATTCGTGTCCCAGGATTTCCCGAGTGTGTTTCCTTCAGTGGTCCCTGGGAGAGCTCCATGGGGCCCATTCTTGTCTACTTGTCTCTGGATTGTTTGGCAGTTTCCTAAGTGCATGACCTTGTTTCCATAGTGCATTACCTAGCATTTACTAGTTCTCTGATTTAAAACAGTCCTCTGATATGTTTTGGTATTCCTGGGTGATTCATTTTATTCTTTGGGTGAATTGCAGGTTCCCTGATGGCTCCTTTAATCCTTGGTTTGGTGTCCCGAATCCCATAACTGGGGTTCCTGTGCATCAAGTGTATTTCTGGATTTTCTGTGCTCTTTCCTGGCTTGCCTTGTCTTTCCTTAGAGGCAGTGGTGGTCTTCCCTCTGGCCAGGTGTTTCTCAAGGAAGATCCTAGGATGAAGGATCCTGGTTCTACTGGTGCATTCCTTAGATCTTTCTGGGCTCTTGTCCTCTGCCCATCCTTCGTCAGTGAATGGTGTGCACACACTTCTAGCTTGGGAAGAGCAGAGAACTGAGGCTGGTGTCTTCTGGTGGGCATGACTGCTACTATTCCTCTCCTCCTGCATCCACTCCTCTCAATGGCTATTCCTGTTGGTTTGCCTTCTGTTCCTCTTATAGAAAATAAGCCAAATAGAATACTGAGGTTCATGCCTTGAAGCATTAGCAGTCAGACATCTAATTTTATCCTTCAGCTTTGCTTTACCTTTGTTTACTTTTACAAAATAGAATGCAAGACAATGGATACAAATTGGTTAAATTCAGATTTAGAAAATACCTGGGTAAATACTGGTTTGGAGATAGGGTTGCTGATTTATGGGAACAAATTACCAGTTAACATAATAAACGTGTGATCACTGAATTGTTTCAAGTGCAGGTTAGACACACACTATGAGTGAGTTTGGGTGGATATAAATAGGAGCTGGCTCATATGGACCAATAGAGCTTCTACAATTTGTCTTTATTATGTTTTTTATGGGGGGGGTTTGGCTAATTGGTATGCAGTCCATGGCTGACCCTTGTTTAGCCTGGCTTGTCGTGCATTACAGTAGTGTTGTACATGGTGTTCTCTTGAGATTGTGTACACTTTCCAGTGGGGGTAGCCTGGTTATTTGTGTTCCCTGGACTTTTCCCAGCTGCTTCATATCATCTTTTATGTAGTAGAATCAGTCTTTGTCTTCAGTTGTGCAGGCCTCTTGCTGCAATGTTATTCCTTCTATATCTCTATGTTCATCTTTGTTGCTGTTTGGTTCTGCTTGCAGACCATACATTTCTGGAATGGTTGGCTCCTGCCTTTTGGGTTCCTAAGCCTTCTCCAGTCCCTTTCCACCTATACTGTATTGAATTGAGGTTTTCACACGGAGAAACTGGGCGGGAAAAGCAGCAGGGGCTGCTTATAAATTAGGTATTGAGAGGATTGAATCAAATCCTTCATTTGGTCCTAAATTTCCTATGTTAGCTTGGATATGCTGGGCTTTTAAGTGAGGATTGCCAGATAGTTTACGGAACAATGATTGATTTTCCTTGTGTCACCTGTTATAGTTTGAAGGTGTGGAAGTTTGCTCCGGTATTGAGTGTTATAGAGAGAAATTTCTAAGTGATGGAATGAGGTAGACTTCCACTGTCACTACGTTACCTACCTACCTACCTACCTACCTTGTGGCAAGAACATTTGTCAAGTTGCTTGTGCAGTGCAGGGTGAAAGTTGACGAGAGCCTGGTGTGTGAGCAATGTCCTGGGTGGTCTCAAATTCAGGCTGGGGAAGAAATCGAGAGACCACTGGGAAACAAGCGTTTCAATTCTCTTACATTTATGGGAAAGTATATTATGTAAGTTGTTGTAATTATTGATCTTTTATATACAGTAGATTTGTTTATGGTTGAATTGATAGCATTTATATATTTCACAGGTACAACCAGTTGACTGCTGTCCCTCGATCACTAAGCAAGTGCATCAACCTAGATGAATTTAACGTTGAGGGTAACCAGATTTGCCAGCTTCCAGAGGGCTTGCTTAGTTCTCTGTCTAATCTTTCATCCCTCACACTCTCACGAAATTCCTTCAACTCGTATCCAGTTGGAGGACCATCTCAATTCACTAACGTTCACTCTATCAACCTGGAGCACAACCTTGTGGACAAGATACCTTATGGCATCTTCTCCAGAGCCAAGTACCTCACCAAGCTCAACATGAATAATAATAAGCTCACGTCGCTTCCGCTTGGTATGTAGTAATATAGGTTGGATTTTTGAACTGGGATGTTTTTGTGGTACACTGTACAGTATATAAGTACTTGGCTCATGTTATATAACATCAAATGTCTGTCTTTTATGTTCACAACTTCTAAGTTGGAAAGTTGGACAAAGGCGGGCTAGGCAAGCAGCCACTGCTCACAGCTGGCCTTTTCCGACCTGTCATTACTCTGGGGCGGGCAGGTGGCTCTCATATGTTATGATTTTGATTGATTCCAACGTGCCAAATCATCTCGCCACCCCACATTAGTATAGATGAGGAAGTGTACCAATTACACACCAAAATTGTTACAAAATGAACAGTACTTTTTTGTAAATATTAAATTAATATATGTAAATAAATAAATAAATTTGCTTCCACCACTAAAATTAACACCAAATAATCCCCTCCTGCCTTTAGCAGACCCTCCATCCCCTCTCTTTGAAGATTTTTAAAGTCTCGTGTGTCGGTGCCAGTTCTCATTACTGTATATAACCCAAATAAAATGTACCTCTAATAAACATGTGCAGCAATAAAACAATTAGCTTTAGTAGTAATAATGTAGGGGGTACTTTGCACACTTGAAAAAACACTGAGTCTTGGCTTGAATATTGTTGCTTAGGTATTATATATTTGCATAAATTAAGTCACCGCCATAATTCTGAGCCATCTCTTCCTTAGTTAACTTTTGGGGTTAGACAAAGACAAACAAATTTTTTAATGGTGAAGAGAGAGGGAGAGAGAGAGAGAGATATATAGATATGGGGGAGAGAGAGAGAGAGATATATAGATATGGGGGAGAGAGAGAGAGAGATATATAGATATGGGAGAGAGAGGTATATAGATATGGGAGAGAGAGAGAGAGAGAGATATGGGAGAGAGAGAGAGGGATATATAGATATGGGAGAGAGAGATATATAGATATGGGGGAGAGAGAGAGAGAGATATATAGATATGGGGGAGAGAGAGAGAGAGATATATAGATATGGGGGAGAGAGAGAGAGAGATATATAGATATGGGAGAGAGAGAGAGAGATGGAGAGATACATAAAGAATGATGGAAGATAATGGAGAGGTGACTTATAAGAGGGCAGCATAGTTATATTGGCTTACTTTTTAATTTAGCATAAACGTTTATTCCCGACAGCTGAATAAATAATCTAGGTGTTGCCAAGTGCACCGCACAGCTTTGATTGTTGCCATTAGGCAGTTTAGTTTTGATAATTGGCTTTAATTTTTTTGTCAGGCATGCAAGCATTCAAAAGAAAGGAACCGTTAGATTTTTCTAAGAAGCATTCTTTAACCCTTAAACTGTTTCTGTTGCCCAAAAGTGATAGACCAGTGATGCTCCTTTCACCTGTGGGAGGATTAATGTGTCTGGTAGTATTCAAAATTTCAGAAGCTTCTATGTGGACATCATTCAATACTTGAATGATGGATGCATTACTATCCATTTACTGATGCCTATGTTAGGAATCATCAATGCCATGCAAATTCCTAAGAACTTGTATAGATTTGAACCCGCCAAACACACACCGACACTACGACGTTGTTACAATGTTCGAACAAGTTGTAACACCACCTAACCAGTTATAACAACCAATATAGCAAGTTGTAACAACGTTCTAATACGTCATAAACACGTTAAGCCAAGATGTAACAACTTTATTACAAGTTGTAACAAGCGGAAAATAGAGACAGTTTCGGTTTGTGTTTCCAGGGAAAGACTTTGGTGATGAGAAATTTATTGTTACAAATAGTGTAGAACTTGTACAAATTTGGAAGACTTTAGTGATGAGAAATTTACTATTATAAATAGTGTTCTTGAAAATTAATTATTAGAATTTGAGTTTCACCATCTTTTTCACCTCACTACAACCATACTGTGAAAATTATTCCAAATTTTCCCCCAACTCCAGAAAAATACCTTTTTGCAATATAGAAAGGAGAAAACCCAGATAAAGTCTCCTTTATCTGGGTTAACCTTTAAAATACAAAGTAAGCATATAGAGCAATACAAGGCATATGTGATAAGACTAAAGAACTTTTTTTTTTTTTTTTTTTTTTTTTTTTTTTTTTTTTTTTTATTATTATTATTATTTTCTACCACAGACGTGGCCACACATTTACAATGCTAACCAGCATATATACATTTTCTTCTGTCCTCCATTGACAGGGAACTGAGGGAACTAAACATTGACAGGGAACTAAAGAACTGAGAGAGATTTAGGAGGTGGTCATGGATAGCTTCCCAGAGGGACCTATGCTAATCTGACCTCTCTAATGGATGAAATCTATATTAGAATATGCACCATGATATATGCAGTGTTTATATCATTAACAACAATATTGAGTAATATTGCCATCTTATGAGAGAAGAGATAGTTATGCTACTAAACGTTTCCAGACTTAAAAATAAGAACTAAGCAGAGTCGAGCCTGGCCTCGGGCCGGGCTTGGGGAGTAGTACAACTCCTAGAACCCCATCAAGCAGCTGAAGGCATTAGAGATTCCATAACTCGTAGATATGAGATAGAGAAACACCACAATAACCAAGTACAAAATTGCAACAGGAATTGGTATTATTGATTAGTAAGAATATTTTAAATTTGCAACATTAAGAACAAGAGGCTATAAATTGATGGCAAGAAACCCAAAGTTGAAAATATATCATGTGAGGGATGGTGTGCCGAGACAACTCCGAGCTACAGACTTCATGTGACATTACAGGCAAGACGCCTCCACAAGTATAACTCATTCTGTAATACAAAATTGTTAAGGGAGAATTTTTCAAATCTGCAATATTGAGAACTAGGTCAAGAAATCTTTTTGTTTTGGAAACAGTGTGATCCCGCCAAACACACACCAAAACTACGACGTTGGTACAACGTTCGAACAAATTTTAACACCTAACCAGTTATAACAACCAATATAGCAAGTTATAACAACGTTCTAATACGTCATAAACCCGTCAAGCCAAGATGTAACAACCTTATTACAAGTTGTAACAAGCGGAAAATAGAGTCAGTTACGGTTTGTGTTTCCAGGGATGGATGGATGGAATAAATTAAGAGAGGGTTGTACAGAATATGTCAAAACCAACATCAAAACTTGAAACATCATATGACAAAGATTATACGAAAGACATGAAACCACCCTTGTATCTCTGATTTTATAACTATTTTATATTAAACTATATTTACTTGTATGATAATCATGTAGGAAAACCTTACTTTTAAAGAACACAGTAATGTAGCTGTCACAACTGCAAGAACAATTACAGGCTGGATAACAGGGCCTTTTCAAATGAGATGCCAGACCAGTGATAGTACTGCTTAAGACATTAGTGCTCTGTAGAATGGAATATTGAACACTAACAGCCTCATTCAAAGCTGGAGAAGTTGCTTACCTGCAGAACATGGAATGATCTTTTTGTGCCCAAATTCATTCAATAAAACTTCTAAATTATTGTGAATGTTTAAAAAAAATTATATTTGTATTCTCTAATGTGCAGATGAGAGATACATCTGAATGTTTAAAATACACTTGGAAAATAGTAGAGGTACTGGTTCAAAATCTGCACATGGAAATACTGCTCCTCATGAGTCCAGGAGGCATGACAGGAAATACAAAGTAGCCCTGTTGAAAAGCAGAGGTGCAGTATGTATGCTGAGATAATTCTATTGACATCAAAGGCCATGACTTATCCACACCGTCCCCGTAAACATAGGGGCATAACAAGCCAAACTCTCGCTGTTGAAAAGTGAACTTGATTAGCACCTCCAAAGGATACTTGATAAACAGGTCTGTGATTCACACGGAAGCTGTGAGCAGCGGCATATAACAGCCTGGTTAATCAGACCGCCATCCAGGAGGCCTGGTCAGAGATTGGGACTGTGGGGACATTAATTTCTGGAACCAACAAGAGGTAGGTAATTATAGGTACTGTACCGCTGCTTTTCCTTATTCTCATATCAGATATAGACAAAAATACAAGTCACAGCTTCGTATCATCCTTTGCAGATGACACAAAAATCAGTATGAAATTACCTCGGCTGAGGACATTGAAAAACTTCAAGCTGATATTAATAAAGTTTTCGACTGGGCATCAGAAAATAACATGATGTTTAACAGTGATAAATTCCAGGTACTCAGGTACGGTAAAAATGAGGACCTTAAACATAATACAGAGTACAAAACAGAATCAAATGTACCCATAGTAGGAAAACAGCATGTAAAGGATTTGGGAATAATAATGTCTGACGACCTAACGTTTAAGGAGCATAACCAAGCAAATATTGCGACAGCCAGAAAAATGATAGGATGGATTACGAGAACTTTCAAATCCAGGGATCCCATCACAATGGTTGTACTCTTCAAGTCACTTGTGTTGTCCCGTCTTGAGTACTGCTCAGTACTCACTTCCCCCTTCAGAGCAGGAGAGATTGCTGAAATAGAGGGAATACAGAGAACATACAGTATACGGCACGCATAGACGCAATAAAGCACCTAAATTATTGGGATCGTCTCAAAGCCCTCCAAATGTACTAGCTAGAAAGAAGACGAGAGAGATATCAAATAATATACACCTGGAAGATACTGGAGGGCCAAGTACCAAATCTACACAGTAAAATAACAACGTACTGGAGTGAACGATATGGAAGAAAATGTAGAATAGAACCAGTGAAGAGCAGAGGTGCGATAGGCACAATCAGAGAACACTGTATAAACATCAGAGGTCCGCGGTTGTTCAGCGTCCTCCCAGCAAGCATAAGAAATATTGCCGGAACAACCGTGGACATTTTCAAGAGGAAACTAGATTTGTTCCTCCAAGGAGTGCCGGACCAACCGGGCTGTGGTGGGTATGTGGGCCTGCGGGCCGCTCCAAGCAACAGCCTGGTGGACCAAACTCTCACAAGTCAAGCCTGGCCTCGGGCCGGGCTTGGGGAGTAGAAGTACTCCCAGAACCTCATCAACCAGGTATCAACCAGGTACACACAGTGCAGTGAGGCCATCATAATATTTTTGGTACTATGCAATATTTGGAGCTGCTGGTACAGTGTGTTCCCAATCAGTATTTGAGGCTTCCAGTAAACATCTGCTATCATGAAAAGTGACAGGATTTTTTTAATATTGTTCACGTGCTCAGGGCATTTTTTGTACTGTTATAAGGAGACAAAACTGTGTTTTGTATACTTGTTTTCTGTGTGCATGCAGATAATACATCGTGTAACCCTTATATAATGCAAGAGTTTAGTTTTTTTAATACCTTACGTAGTGTTATTTGGGAAAATGTGGGGGAGCCTATTGCACAATTTGCCACTAAATCTTTTGCAAAAAAAAATTCATTTTGATTTTAGCATGAACTGAATTATAGGTTTAGTTCTAAAGTAATACCTTTTAATGATTTAATGTTTTTAATAAAATATTAAACCAGAATTTGCAAGTTGAATGAATTGTATAGAAGTTTTGGGGTAGCTACTTTGTAAATTCTGTAAATGCCTAAAATGTTTTCTCTCTGTTTTGCAGATATCGGGTCATGGGTAAACATGGTGGAACTAAACTTAGGCACAAATTATTTGACCAAAATACCAGATGATATATCACATTTACAGAACTTAGAGGTTCTTATGTTAAATAACAATCATCTCAAGGTAAGCTTATTATTTTTATGTTGTGTTGTGAAATTAACTTATCAAGGCTCCTTTTCCCCCTCCCATTTCAATGAACCCCTATTCCTTAACAATGAACCTTCCCAGAACATTATTAGTTCTTCAAATTGAGTGACTATTTTGCCCCGGTAAATGAGTAACCATGCAGTTTGTCTTGTCCCATAACATGGGAATAAATAGTTCTGCAGAGAACATACCTAAGTTCAATTCTGAGAATAAACTACATGGTGTATCACAAATATTTCAGACCACTCATTGTCTCCCTGCTAATGGTCATCAACAACTTGAAAATGCCCAAGAATCATTTTGAAGTACTGTACCTAATCATTCATTAACCAACTACATTAATAAACACCAGGTGGAACCACTATTGGCTGAACAGGGTTAGGGGGGGAGATGGCTCCTCTCATGTTTATGCCTTGTGTTCTCCTGTTAACAGCTGTGTTCTGCAGAAGCCAAATATATTTGTGGATTATTATCTGGTTTTGATGAGACTTTGTCTTGGCACCGGGGTTTTTTGTGGGAGACCCCTTAGTAGCTTCCTGTAGCTATCTTACTAATATTGCTCCATACTGTGATTCACGTTAGTTGCAGGAGTTCTGTTTGGCCTATCATGGACCAGAGCCACTACCTGGCTTCCTTACAGAGGCATAGGGAGGAAATGACTTTACACCATTTCACTGGGAAGGCATCCAGAAAGTCAGCGACACTTTACAGACAACTGCTGGGTTCACAAGACTCCCTAAGCCTCAAGCCTGCCAAACAATATCTCGAACGATTCAATCATAACTAAATAATTCACTCAAAACTAGCTCAAACCCGTTAGTATCGATTGCCATCACCAGGTGGCCTGGAGCTCAGTCCTACACCAGCTCCCCACTCAGTTCTATCACTGATATAGTGCCTAGTGTATCACAGCAGCTCTCCATGGTCAACTCTAGTATGGGTCCCAGTGCTTCTGTGCTAAGTGTCAGCCATCCTAAGACCTGTCTTGTGGGGGGCCATTTGCTGGTGTATTGTTCCAGTTTAGTATTTGCTCATATTTATGAGCAGGTTTTCTATCAGGTGGTGTGTGGACTTTGCTTTTTGTGCTTCAAATTGCATCTATCAGTTACTGACCTGAGTGTTCATTTAGCCCTGTTGTTACACTGACAGAGTAACTTCTTTGGTGTGTTTAGGAGTGTTGCCTTTCTAGGCCTGGCCACCAGGATGGAGTGCCTTCTTGAGGTTATCTTGAGTTGATTTCGGGGCTTTGTTTTTAGTGTCCCCGCGGCCCGGTCCTTGACCAGGCCTCCACCCCCAGGAAGCAGCCCATGACAGCTGACTAACTCCCAGGTACCTATTTACTGCTAGGTAACAGGGGCATAGGGTGAAAGAAACTCTGCCCATTGTTTCTCGCTGGCGCCCGGGATCGAACCCGGGACCACAGGATCACAAGTCCAGTGTGCTGTCCGCTTGGCCGACCAGCTCCCTATCTTGGTATTTATCTTGTACGCCTTATCTTGGGTATTTCAAGAGTCACTTGGCTTTTCTGTTTTGGCCCATGGTTGTGGTTGTTCCAAGTCAGTTGTATTGGGGTCCACTTTGTAACCCTAGTCTATTGGGCTGATTCCTGTTCTGACAAGTATCCCCAGTGCCTGGGAGTACTTGTCTGGCTTATTAACAGTAAGCCCTAGCATTTCCCAGTGGATCTCTAACAAGGTCAGTTATGTATAAAAAAAAAACAGCCTATTGAGCTTTTTCTCACTAATTGCAAGTTGGAAGGGTCACCTTTGCTACATGGCAACGATCATTCTTTCTGCCTACGCCATGCTGCCTGTTGGTTTAGCAATACTTATAACCCTAAATCCTGTGGGGGTTTGTTCCTCAAACTCGGACTGGTTTCAGGAGGGACCTCCAGATTTGCTGTGATTTCAGTAGAAATCCGGTTGTATGACTTTTAACAAGTCAGCAATGGTACGGTGATAGAGTATGCGGCTGGCAATGCCTTGGTCGCGGGTTCGCATTGCCTCACAGCTCGAGTGGATTTTCTCAATAACAACAATTCAGATATAAATCAGTTTTGCATGGTGTAAAATTTTAGGCTCATGACATAGCAGCAGTCAAACAGTATTTTAGTACAGTATACTGTACTGTCATATAGGTAAGCAATAGAAGATTTTATCAGTAGTATGGCACAGTTGATACCATATATCCATGTTATTGAATTATTGCAGAATAATACAATTAGATATAAATGTAAGAAACTGGTGGGGGATACAAGTATGTGTACATCTACCATCTCTTGAAGCTACATGATGGACATACTAGTATGGCAAACACCCACACAAATTTCTATGCACAGTACTGTGGAGGTAAATAAGATCTTGTATTTTGCTTTAATAAAACTGATAATATTCTTGTCTTTACAGAAAATTCCCTCAAGTATAGGCAATTTACGGAAGCTTCGTCTGTTGGATCTTGAAGAGAATCGGCTAGAAGGACTCCCACCCGAGATTGGTTTTCTGAAAGACCTTCAAAAGCTTATAGTCCAATCCAATCAGTTATCAGTTCTACCCCGAGCAATTGGGTTAGTATTATTGATCATTTATTTTATTAAATATATCATTTGTTTAATCATTGTCTTTATTAAATGTTAATGATTACCAAATCATGTGTTTGTGTGTAACTACATTAATTTCTTGCATGTAAGTAAGATGCCCAAAATGCTGTGTGTATTAGTGGATTAGGCATAGTATATTTTAATTTAATAAACGAATTGAATCCATTCCCAGAGACTGTTCAACGACAAACAATTCGAAAACCGAAACATTTTTCAATAAGAACTAATGTAAATTGAATTAATCCGTTCCACACCCTCAAAAATAGCTAACAGTCTATTGACCAGTCTTAACCAGCTAGCAGTCAATCACACCTTGCACAAGACTCCTTCCCTTCTCAGGACTATTTGCAGTCTGCAAGGCTGAACATTGGAATTAAGTAATGTGTAGTGACAATAAAAATGTGGACCAGATGCAAAGAGTGGCCAAATAACCATCAGCACCAGCCTTTCCCTGCTGCTTTTGTCTGTCTTCCTAACACGCAACTTCATCCAGTCACCCAATGTAGTCAAGCATTGGCTGCACTACCTTTGTTTCACCAGTAATCATATTCAGTGATATTCAGGGAGCCGGTCGGCCGAGCGGACAGCACACTGGACTTGTGATCCTGGGTTCGATCCCGGGCGCCGGCGAGAAACAATGGGCAGAGTTTCTTTCACCCTATGCCACTGTTACCTAGCAGTAAAATAGGTACCTGGGTGTTAGTCAGCTGTCACGGGTTGCTTTCTGGGGGTGGAGGCCTGATCGAGGACCGGGCCGCGGGGACACTGAAGCCCCGAAATCATCTCAAGATAACCTCAAGATATCCTCAAGTTAATCATAAGGACATTTTAATCAAACTTATATTTATAATTCCTATGTAACTTGTGTTCATTCATTGCTTTCATTTCAGACACTTGATGAATCTGACTCACCTGAGTGTAGGAGAGAACAACTTGAGTTACCTGCCAGAAGAGATTGGTACTCTGGAGTCTTTGGAGACACTCTATATCAATGACAATCCCCTGCTGCACAACCTTCCCTTTGAGCTGGCTCTCTGCACAAACCTGCAGATTATGTCTATTGAAAATTGCCCTCTAAGTCAGATACCTCCTGAGATTGTGGCTGGCGGCCCATCTCTTGTTATCCAGGTATGCTATGAATTGATGATCATTGCTAAGGTACATTCATTACTTCTGTGATTTCACATACAAGGGGGCTTCCATTTTTCTTGTAGCAGATCTGGTTTCTGAATAAATTTGTATCTGTATGACCATGGCTGAATATAGGAATTTTAATGAAACAAAGAGATAATTGGTAACACTAGCCTACTTTACACCCTTAGCTTGGGATTGAAAAAAAAAATGAATTTTATAATTTTAAGAACATAAGAACAAAGGCAACTGCAGAAGGCCTATTGGCCCATACGAGGCAGCTCCTATCAATAACCAACCAATTCCACTCATGTAAATGTCCAACCCGTGCTTGAAACAATCGAGGGACCCCACCTCCACCACGTTATGCGGTAATTGGTTCCACAAATCAACAACCCTGTTACTGACCCATTATTTTCTATGTGAATTTTCATTAAAAATATAACATTTCTATAAATATTAAAATTGTAAAATTTCTGTAAAAGGCCAAAAGTGCAGTTGACTTCCACTGGTCATTCTTTTTCTTAAGATTGACATTTCTTTACTATGGTGTTTAAAGGGTCTTGTCTTCATCTGTGATACTGTATTGTAAAGCTTACTTTGAAAATATAGATATCTGATCTAGTAAATTTAATAACTATTACCTATCTTAAAAATTGATTTTGTTTTCAAAGATATTTAGTGTTTTGTTATTTATCATTTTGTTTACAACCCTTTCATAGCCTCAGTTTTTTTTTTTTCCCCCTTTCCCCCCATGAAGATGGGAAGTGGGGGGGTTAATGTTAGTGTTACTGTTATTGAGTCATGATGCAATTATCATTTCACCCATTCCACTAAAGTATACTAAAGTTCTAAATATTTAAACTCTTGAATTTGTTTTGTGTTGTGGGTTCAGTTCTTCACCCACAAGCACCACCCACCCACTGATCCTGTACCACTGTCTTTTGTTAAGCCTTTTGAAACACAGTATCCATATAGTCAACCACAACTACAAGTCTTCTATTTTGTGACAAAGAAGTATTTATCTGTACACTTGTATCATTAATATTTGTTATGGTTGTTAGATCATGTCCTTGCTTTATGTTTGTGTTTGTACTGTATAGGTATTTGCAATAAATCTGTGTACACTTTTTATTATTAATCTGTAAAAGATTTTCCTAATTTCACCATTTTTTGTTTTCAGTTTTTGAAGATGCAGGGTCCATACCGCACAATGTGAGGAAAGTCTCTCTCTCCTGTTGAAGTCATAAATGGAAGTACGAGTAGGCATGCATCACGATAAGAGCTTTTACAGTGGCTGCTGTTTCTGGGAATTGCTTCAACTCTCCTGCAGCGCCTATGTTGTTCCCGCTGCTGCTACTACTACCACACCCAAAAATTCAAAATGCTGCTTGTGATTCTGGGTGGTGCAGTAGCTGGATGTCCATGTTGTTCCACAGTGTGACACTACAAGTAACAGGCTGCCCATAAGTATGGTACCTTCCAGCCTTCTGTGTCATTGGCTGACTGAAGAGAAAACATTGGATATATGTTAGGGATTCAGGCTCCTCTGTGAAATGTGATATTATGCTTTTCTTGTTAGGTATAAGTGTGTGTGACCAGGCCAGTGGAGAAATTGCTGGTGATGTGTACCTGGGCCTGGTATGGTCGTGCAGAGGATGCCAAGCATGGTATGGGGCTGTGATGGGTTGCAAAGGAAGCCCCAGCTATCCATCTTGGCTAAGGTGCAATGGACATAAAATATAAAACATATATAAAAATATATAAAAACATTAAAATGGGAAAAAAAGTAGGAGAATGACCACCACCTATCCATTCTGGCCGAGTTGAACGGTAGTTTCTGGTGTCACAAGTGGGAACTTATAAAAGCCAAACTCCAACACTGCCAGCTACCTATCTTGGCCATGATGTATGGTGTATGGTCAAACAAGCGTGGTATGGGACAGCTGCAATGTGAGGAGGTCCCCCACTCACCACTGATGATAGCAACCCAAGAGGAAAATGCTTGTGTTCAATGTCAGATGTTGATTGTGCATGTGCATCTGTGGCATGCACAGTGTGATACAAGGTAGCCCTGGTGGTATGACTCTGGTCTCCCCCCTATACAATGCCATTCACTGACCATCAGTCGGTAGTCATGTGTGACTTCTCCCCCTGCTCCACATTGATTATCAGATAGTTACTGGATGATGTTGAAGCAGTGCCAACCACTGGTCCCACCTTCACACTGTGCTGCGTGTGTGCATGTGTGTTCTGGTGTATATATGTAACATGAGCCTGCTACTGGGTTGCTTCATGCCAATGCTGATTTATCCTCTCGTGACATTGCTGCCTCCCAAACCATCGCTTTGGTGTGTCTGCGAGTGTCTTTTTGTATGTATATTGTAGTGAGTGTTAACTGTCACAGAAATTACACAACAAATTCTGTGTGGATGTGAATATCAGTATTTTCTAGAAAGGCCTGATTTGCTTTGCCATGTAAATATTTGCTTTAACTAACTCAGTCCAGGAATAATATGTGATGGACTAATATGTGAAAATAAAAACAATTTATCATACTTTGCTTCCTGTGCCAAGCTAAGGCTTCTTTTTTTATATTTGTAACTTTTTTTTTTAAATTATTATTTTTGAAGCCAACTGATGAGACTTAAGTTTGGTGGCGACAATGGACCAGTGTGTCTTGTGGTAATGAAATGAGCTTTGTTTGATACAACCTTATCATGTGTTGGTTGTATTAAATAAAGTGTTTAGCCACAAATATTTTGGTTACCAGCAGGTGGATGACCTCTTATGGCACCACGTGTTGGGAATTTACCACCCATATAACTCCCACCAGTAATAAATGACTAACTTGGCAAGGAAGGTCAGAGAACGTACATTCTTTTAACATTACTACAAACCTCCATTCCCCACAGAGGCTCATTGGTGCTCTACAACTAGAACCTCGTCCCCTTCCGATATTTAAAGGTGGATGGGTATATCGGACAAGGAAAATGTGATGGCACAATGCTACACGAAAATCTTTAGAAGTAATCCAAGATGGATTACATGGGCATAAAGTGTTATTATGCAAGTTAATAATGAAGCCTTTTGGCACAACAAAGACTTGATTACAGTACAGTATGTGGTGCAAGGCAATGTGGGCATTAGGTCAGAGAAAGGTGAAAGCCTGGTTAAAGGTATTTGGAAGCAGAGCTCTTTGAATTGATGGCCAACTGACATGCCCTTTGCACATTTAGTTGGCTTGAACTGGACAATGTTGTACACTACAGTGTTCACGTTGCTGCTCTGGAGATTGACGTTTTATCTTCAAGAACTGCAAGGCAGTTAGGTTTTAGTGTACTTCAGTGACTGCTGCTGCAAACTCCTTGAAGCAGCTGTGAATAATAACCTAGTCAGTGTCCTGTGGGATGTTGTGCCTGTAGACTTGTCTGTCACTGGTCTAAGACACCTCCCACACCATCCATTGCTTTGTAGCTAGGCGCTGATTAACCTCAAGGTTCCAGCGCCAGGCCCTGGGCCTAAACCTCATCATAATAATGCTTTGTAGCCTCAAACCCCACAGAAATAACCAATGCTTATTACTCAAATGGACATGCTGTGTATCGGTCGCCTCTCAAAAATGTTACTCAATAAACCTGTAGGTGAAATGTCTTTCCTTAAATCCTGAAAAGGAGGGGGGGGTTGTAGTTTTCATAAAACACACGTGCTTAAATAACTTTTATTAAAATATTATTTTGTGGTAATTTTATTAAGCTCGATTTTATCTAGTTTCTTCTGTGGTATACTGACGCTACTCAAAACCTTCGTTATCATGCCCGTGGCAACAGTAATGTTGTTTTCTCTGATGGTAAACGGTTGGTTCTCCATCATTACCATACGTTCCTGTAGGGTCAGCAGCACTGTACCATGGTCACCTGGATATGAAAAAAAAAATTAGTAGTGCCACAAAAGTTTAATCATAATGACTACCATCAAAAGGTGCCACATCTGGAAGAATACATATCGCAATGTGTTGAGAGAATATTTAGACGTTCCTAGATAGTTGGAATACCAATACGAAAGCAAAGACAAGACTAGAACAATGTCAAAGAATCTGATACACAGAGGATTGTATGACACATGAACTTAGGAATGGTAAAGCAAGTTTTTGGATTAACCTGAAAATGACATGCAAAGAGGCAAGCAACCCAAAGCAGTACAATGCAGTCCCAGAGCAAGTTATAGGTTTCTTCCATCAAGTAGTCTGATGCTTCCCTACTAATTGTTCTAATGACAGGAGGAAGTTTATGTGAATATGTCATGCTTAATAACTAAGCAGGCCAGAGGTCAATAGTACTGCACATAAGTTATTTATTCAGAATAGCTATCAATTACTTTTCCAATGACTGCAAATTGAATGCAGCAAAAATTGCTTCCAAGGAGCAAAAAACATTCCCTATTACTTATGCCTAAAAAGAATATAACATGGTCATTATTCCACTCAAACTATAGTTTTATGATAAGGATAGTCATATGAAATTTACCTACTGGTACTTCCAATGAAAAGGCGAGCAATTTATTTCTTTGTTCAGTCAGAAAAAATTAACAAAAGTGAATACAAGTATGACTACAAAAGATTTGGATGTGATAGTTTTCAAGATTTACAATTATGCTGGAAATTACTTTCACAAATCAGCTCCCGAATGTAGTCTTCCATCAATCATGTTTCCATTTACCAGTCTCCGTGGTGTAGTGGCAAGACACTCTCCTAGCATTCCGCAAGAGCTTTGTCATGGGTTCGTATCCTGGCCAGGGAGGATTTACTGGGTGCAAATCCTTAAACTGTAGCCTCTGTTTAACTCAACAGTAAATTGTGTACTTGGATGTAAAAACGATTCTTCGTGGGGGTCGTGTTCCAGGGACCTGCCCGAAACGCTACGCGTACTAGTGGCTGTACAAGAATGTAGCAACTCTTGTATATATGTTCGTTTTCGTTATATTGTCCAAGTCTAATACATCCTGGTGGAAGAACGTGTTTTGCTTTCCAAGTATGCTCCATGTTCTCACATTTATCAAGATCAGCATTGAGGATGTTGTGAGGGACCTTCTGCAGCCCATTGCACCATAGTTCAAAACCAGATTTTCAACCAGCACCACAGTTTTCAGCTTTATGATTGCCCAAGAAGCTATGAACCACCGAGATAAAGCTGTTTCCAGCTGCTTTCTCTTTACTCGTGAGCTTCTTAGGGAATTCCTAACACTCCAGGATCTTGATCTGTGGCCTAATGAAGATAATGGCATGAACCTTGCCTCCAACAACTTAGTTTAGATTGAAAGTTGCTGACTTCTGACACTGCACATCAAATTAGGCCTTATGAAACTGCCCTAATTTGATGTGCAGTGGTGGCATCGGCACCTGCCAGGAGACACCAGTAACTCCTACTTAACACTGTTCATCCCCACAGAGAAATTGGTCTGCTGTGGTTAGTCCTGCCTGAGGTTCACATGAGATTTAGATCACCGTGGGATGTGGAAGGTGTCGACTCCAAGGACATAAGAGCATTGCGAGTCAATGATAATAACAAATAAACATTTGGGCATGTACCCTTTAAAGAACACAAGAGTACAAATATTACGTCTTTGAGAAAAAGTCACAATACATGAGGACACACTGAAGATATACAGAGGGAGAAGCAGACAATTGTAGTAGTAAAAGGCTGCAAAGGAAAGTGAGTAGGGCATTCAATGGGGAACAGCTGTCAAAAGTGTGCAATACTGAACAAGTGTCAAAGGGGAAAGGGGCTTTGAAGGGCCTGGCTGAATTACTGAAGGCAATATTGAATGCAAAAGAACAATGGAACATTGATTTCTTAATACAAGGTCTGGTTGAAGGGAGATAAAGGGAAACCCTGAACACTACTGTATTTTCCAGACAAAATACTGAAACTAGTCTGTATTTTCAAAACAACAAATTTGCACTTGAGGTATTCATTTCCATAGAGGGTCACAAACACAGTGAACAATGTTTCCTGGCAAAAATCATGACACGTTTTTATGCCTGATTGCTTGAGACAACACTATCAACTGCAAGCTGGAAATGCTACCGAGGGGAAAAAAAGGTACTGTTCCACTAACATCGCACATCATAAAAATTTTTGAGAGAGTGCTAAGAAGTAAGATCACAAAATACATGGAATCACAGCATCTCCATAACCCCAGACAACATGGTTTCAGAACAGGGCGCTCTTGCCTGTCGCAGTTGCTGGACCACTATGATATGGCATTAGATGCTTTGGAAGACAAACAAAACGCTGATGTAATTTACACAATTTCGCAAAGCTTTTGATAAATGTGACCATGGTGTTATTGCACATAAAATGCGTTCAAAAGGAATTACCGGAAAAATAGGCAGATGTATCTACAATTTCCTGACCAACAGAACCCAATGTGTAATAGTCAACAAAATAAAATCCAGCCCATCAACCGTGAAGAGCTCAGTCCCCCAGGGTACTGTGCTTGCTCCAGTACTTTTTCTCATCCTCATATCGGACATAGACAAGAACACAACCTATAGCACAGTATCATCCTTTGCAGATGACACTAGGATCTTCATGAGTAGGCAACATAGAGGACACGGCGAACCTCCAGTCAGATGTAGATCAGGTCTTTCTATGGGCTACAGAAAATAATATGGTGTTTAACGAAGATAAGTTCCAGCTCATGCGCTATGGAAAAAATGAAAATATAAAAACGGAAACCACATACAAAACTCAGGCAAATCATAACATAGAACGAAAAGGCAATGTAAAGAATCTGGGTGTACTCATGTCGGAAGACCCTACCTTTAAAGAACACAATAAAGTAGTCGTCACAACTGCAAGAAAAATGACAGGTTGGATAACAAGAACTTTTCACACTAGAGATGCTATACCGATGATGATACTTTTCAAAGCGCTTGTGCTCTCTAGAGTGGAGTACTGCTGCACAATGACAGCACCTTTCAAAGCTGGAGAAATTGTTAACCTGGAGAGCATGCAGAGATCCTTTACTGCTAGAATCCACTCAGTAAAATATCTAAACTATTGGGACCGACTAAAGAACCTAAAACTGTACGCCCTTGAGCGCAGGCGGGAGAGGTACATAATAATTTACACGTGGAAAATGTTAGAGGGGCTGGTCCCAAACCTGCACACAGAAATAACATCACATGAGACCAGAAGACATGGCAGGATGTGCAGAATACCCCCGTTGAAAAGCAGAGGTGCAACAGGTACTCTGAGAGAGAACTCTATCAACATCAGAGGTCCGAGACTGTTCAACACGCTTCCACTACACATAAGGGGCATAACTGGCCGACCCCTCACAGTGTTCAAGAGAGAACTGGATAAGCACCTCCAAAGGATACCTGATCAACCAGGCTGTGACTCGTACGTCAGGCTGCGAGCAGCCGCGTCCAACAGCCTGGTTGATCAGTCCGGCAACCAGGAGGCCTGGTCGACGACCGGGCTGCGGGGACGCTAAGCCCCGGAAGCACCTCAAGGTAACCTCAAGGTACCATAATAGCAAATGGTAAAGTGCTGATGTCTTAATTAATAGGACGAACACTTACAATGAGCCAAGCCTTCAGAATGGGCCCAATGTCACTGATTTGGTTATGAATATTCAACAAATGCCTGTATTTTAAGGTATAAATAGTGAGTACAATACCTTGTGGAGTGGCAAGGAACATTGCAGACTGGTGATCAAAAAGAGCAAAGAAATCATTGTTTGAATTCTGAAACTGCATGTTTAAGAAAGGGGCCAGGAACTAATTTTTTAACCTTCTTCAAACACACTCAAACTTTTTGTTCATAATCTACATGGCAAATGCTCCAAATTTTACTAATGATTCATTATACAATATCATAAACAAAAAATATAAGTTAGTTTTAAAAATTGAAAATTTCACAATTTCAAATTAACTAAACTAATTTAATATTTCACCAATTTTTATTTTATTCATAATGGGCTCAGAATGGCATATAAGGTTCATTTGTCATTTGTTAAAATTGAGTTTTAGGGTACAGTTACTGTAAAAAAAAATAGCCAATCTGGTCTTCAAATTATGCGTAAAATTTAGACATAAATGTATAACTCCCAAAGTTATGGGTTTATGAATATATGCTCAAATAATAACCTTAGAACTAAGGACATTGCACATAATATGTGAAAATGGTGAGAATCGGTCAGAAACTGAATTTAGCAACTTGTTTCAAAGTTGAAAATCCTGTTCATATAGAAAAAACCAGCGATGAATGTAATGAAACGCCACTTTCTGGGTGAGACCCGGAGGCTTCCCGGAGCTATCCGGGCTGATATGAATGTATTAAACCCTGGCATTCTGTGTCTACCATCGACTAGGTCAGCCACCCAGAAAGGTAATGCCCCAAAACAAACCCCTATTCTGGTTAAAATGTTGCTACTGAAAGCTGAACTAGTGGACAGAACTCCCCCAAATGAAAACGAGCAAACAAGCATGACGTCACAGTGCCACCGTCTGCACAACCTCCCACCCTCCTCCCCAGGAGGGGAAAGGGGAAGCCCCAGTTTCCCCGTGCTAGCTATCCACACCCCGTTTCTGAGGCTGGATGTCAAAACACGTGAACACCTACCTACCTTGGCGCCTACCCGAGCAAGGGCTCGGGTAGGCGCCAAGGCACTGAACCCCGAAAAACCCGAAGAGGAAGCCGGCAACTCAGCAACCAACGCATAGCCCCCGGGTCCGAACCCAGCGATCGCGAAAGAGGCGGAAGGGACGTCCCCAAAGGAACCAGAACACCCGACGAAGCCAAACCCGACCCGGCGGGTAGACCAGCATCGGGAAGTTCAGGCTCTCGCACAGCCCCTTGAGCAACCGCTGGGTAACCTGGGAGCCCCCAGAAACAGGCGCAGGTGGGACCACAGCTGCAGGGAGACTCCGGAGGAAGAGACAAGGAAGCGGTCCGAGAGTCCCACACGAGGCCCAACCATGTCCGAACCTGGGAGGGAACCAGATGGGACTTCCTCTAGTTCACCAAGAACCCAAACCCGGCGAGCTGAGAAAGAACCAAATCCCTGGCCAGCAGACAAGAGGACCGGCTGGGAGCCCAAACCAGCCAGTCGTCAAGGTAGGCCAACACCCGAACACCTAACAGACACAGACGGGCCACCACAACCCATGTAAGGTGCGTGAACACGCGAGGTGCCAGGTTCAACCCGAACAGGAGACAACGAAAGCGGCAACCTTGATGCCCCACAACAAAACCGAGCCAGTACCTGAACCTCAGATGAATCGGGACGTGCCAATACGCGTCCTGGAGGTCCAGGGATACCATCCAAGCGCCCGTCTCCAACAGGAGCTGAACCTGGGACAGCGTAGTCATCCGAAAGGAGGGGCAATGAACTCAGGGGTTCAGACGGGACAAGTCCAGAATGAACCGTAGGTTCGCGCAGTCCCATTTCGGGACCGGAAACAGACGTGAAACCCATCTGAGGAATGTTGTCGTTTCGACCACACCCAAGCGAACCCACTCCAAGATGACTTGACAGAGCGCAGGGGAAGTGGCCTGCCCCGCCAGCCCCGAACCCCCTGAAGGGGGGTACCCAATCCCACTGGAGGCCACATGAAACGACCCAAAACGCCCACGAATCGTGAGACCAGGCATGAGTGAACAGCCTCCCCCCCATCGCCTCTTCAATGGGGCTTACTGCGAAAGGGCCGGCGACCTTTATGAGACCCAGGACCTCGTACAGAGTGAACACTGCGCCGACCAGACGAAGGCGGGTCCAAAGGAGGACCCGGACCCGAACCCGAACCCGACACCAGTGGCCTACCACGACGAGAGGAACCCCGAGCCTCGGCACGACCCTTCCGGGAAGGCCCACCACGGGACCCCCGGATAACCATCAAGTCCCAACCACTTGGGCTGGACAGTAAAGCGACGGTTCTGCTTCATGCAGGTCGGCGTTCAATCTTCGATTGTCCAAGTGGTTGGGCACCATTCCTTCCCCCCGTCTCATCCCAAATCCTTATCCTGATACCCTCCAAGTGCTAATAGATGTAATGGCTTGGTACTTTCTCTTGATACTTATCTACCTACCAGTATTTCCAGTAACATACAGTGCTGTCTACAGACCCACTGATGTGTGGTGTCTTTTATTGCAGGTGCCCATATTTAGTATCTTGCCTAACAGCTTCAGCCATGATGTGCAGACTGTATCTGTCATTATCAACCAACATCACCACTGCCTTGATTAAATTTTACTTTTTTCTCTCTGGCAGTTTTCTTCTCCCTCGATTCACAGTTCATCATGTGATGACTGTAGAAACTCCTGAATCTCACAGTATCTTCTTAAAGATTTAGGTTCCTTACTACAAAGCCTCTACTGTACCAGTATTACTGAAATGTATACTTCTCACTGATCCTTAACAGATGATTCTCCTGCCTTCTAAATCACACCTATAAAGTTTCATTGTCACAGATTACAGTGGTTACAACAGGCATCTATTAGGTAACCCACCTGGCATAAACATATCTACACCATCTGGCAGGTCAACACGGCAAGCAATATTCCAAGTATTGCTAAAAAGCTGTTGCATGTAAGGAGCGATTAGTGGACGAGATCTACCTCCCTCTTCATGGCTTAGAAGGTATATGGCAGCTTCAAATCTAAAAATAAGAAAAGCGCATTAAGTGCAATGAAACAACACTTTCTGAGCAGCAACTTGACAGTTCCCTAGTTCCTGTCTACACTGCTATGGTAAGGACTGCAAATAAACTGGTATTCTGAACAGTTTCTTCGGTATTTCACCATCCATGTAATTAAAAGCAAGTCTGAAGTTGGAAGGCAACGCATACTACGCTCCTCTCACTATGTTCTTTATGTGTTCCTCTGGTGACAGCTTACTATCCAAAACCACCTCTACATCTCATGCGTTATTAGAGTTCTTTAGTTCCTTTCCACATAATCTGTAAGTTGTGTGTGGTCTCATTTTCTCTAATTCCACATTCCATAACAGGCATTTATTCACATTGAATTCTATTTGCCACTTGATGCTCCAAGCACTTATTTAATCTAGATCACTTTAAAGGGCATAATAATCGTCTGTGTCTCCTATCTTCTCCAGTATCTTGGCATCATTCGCAAACATGTTCATATAATTCTGTATTCCCTCTGGGAGATCATTTATGTAAACAATGAACATTACTGGTGCAAGAACTGAATCCTGTGATACTCTGCTAATAACACTCCTCCAGTCAGATACATTGTCTCTGATTACTGCCCACATCTATTTGTCAGTTAGACAAATTTTCATCCATGTCAGAATTCTCCCTGTCACCCCTCCAGCATGTTGCAGTTTCCAGAAGAACCTCTTGAACCCTAAATTATAGACCCGTATCATTAACAAGCGTACTAGTCAAAACACTAGAAAAAATAGATCAAACCTAATGGATAGAACACCTGGAGAGTAATGATATCTTGAGGTTATCTTGAGATGATTTCAGGGCTTAGCGTCCCCGCAGCCCAGTCCTCTACCAGGCTTCCTTTTTTGTTACACACCCTCAGGAAGCATGGATGAAAAATTTGTCTAACTGACAAATAGATGTGGGCAGTAATCAAAAACAATGTATCTGACTGGAGGAGTGTTATTAGTGGAGTATCACAGGATTCAGTTCTTGCACCAGTAATGTTCATTGTTTACATAAATGATCTCCCAGAGGGAATACAGAATTATATGAACATGTTTGCGAATGATGCCAAGATACTGGAGAAGATAGGAGACACAGACGATTATTATGCCCTTTAAAGTGATCTAGATTAAATAAGTGCTTGGAGCATCAAGTGGCAAATAGAATTCAATGTGAATAAATGCCTGTTATGGAATGTGGAATTAGAGAAAATGAGACCACACACAACTTACAAATTATGTGGAAAGGAACTAAAGAACTCTAATAACGAATTAGATGTAGGGGTGGTTTTGGATAGTAAGCTGTCACCAGAGGAACACTGTGGAAGGTGAGGGGGCGGGAAAGGAGGAATTTTCCTTGTGTATTTTCCCCGTTTTGGTTTCCTGGTGGGCTGGCAGAAGTCCCTGTTAATTCTGTCCCAGGTTTGGACCTATTTGGACCTGGCTTGGGGTTTCCGGTCGGCTTCTCTGGCTCTGCTCTGCCATCGCCATCTGGTGCTGGACCGGTCAAGTAGTTATGTGGGAGCCTGTACTTTGCCCATATAGTATTTTCTATGGGCACAGTTAGACTCTAGACATTGTACTGATTTCTCCGGTTCTGCTCATTTTTTGACATTGCTGGGAGGGCTCAGCAGTGATAAAGGGCACCATTTGCCCTTTTTCAGCTCTTGCATTGCTGGCTTCCACTTTGGTACTTTTGGGGTTCAGTTCCATGGTGCCTTCCTCCCAGTTGATTGATGTGTTCACAAATGGCTTGGCTCTGAGCTGGGATTTTGTGACCAGTGCTAGCTAAGCCTCCCAAAGCCATTGGTTAAACTCATTCCTTTGGGTGCAAAGCATGGTGCATGATTTTCCAGCGATGTGGTATATCTTTTGCAAAGAAGGTTCGTCTTCCTCCAGGCTCTGTTTTCCGGATCCATTCCGACTGCTCCCAGTGGCTCATTTGCTGAACCATAGGGGGTTCACTTGACCATTTCCCTTTAGAGATGGACTCAGTTTCTTGGCTTTTGGATTTTGGGGGTTTGGCTCTCCATGTGGTTCAATCATTCCCTAATCAGTCCTGTGTTTTTCTTTTACTGTTATTAGCCACAGAGAGCCACCACTTGGCTCCTCCAGAAGACCAGCATTGAGTGTAATGAAATTTCTTTTTCTGGTAGGCCTCTAAGGCCTCTGAGAGATGACAATGACCAATTCTCTCATGCCCAGCCAGGTGTGTCATTAATGGTCTTCAGCTCTGGACTGGAGCTAAGATGGTATGGAAGCTGGGAACTCCAGATGGTGTTGCCACCCATTAGTGGCCAGCCAAAACTTGGGGGTTTGACTCTGTCTCCGAGTGAATCCTTGGTTAAATTATTTGGCTCTTTCAATGCATTCTTTTTGAGAACCTTGCAGTTGCCTGTATTACTTTCTGGACGTTTTCTTGGTGAGGACGATTGTAACAATCCCTTGTTCCCTATGCTTCTGATGGGGTCAGGTTCTGGCTCTAGTCTCTGGTAAGCAATACAGGACTACCAACACCAATGTGACTTAGTAAGGGGGGAGCTATCTCATCGAGTTAGCTTCAGGGAGCCACCGAGGTTGAGTAAGATCCATTTCTTATATTCAATGCTGGTTTTGTGTCCTGACCTTGAACCCAAGTTATTGCCTGAATTACTAAGGAGTAACCCAGACACCTGACGGAAAAGAAACCTGCTCGTTACTGTCCAGATTTCATTAGTGAACATAGTTATACAAAACATCTACTGTAATAGAATGCCTCAATTTTCAGTTTGATCACTAAATTTGTTCCCAACAGTACTTGGTGAATTGGACTCCTGAAATGCATAAATGCTCTTCTCCTCTCATTAAGGCAACTTGAATAGCCAAACCCACATGGTTGGGTTTTACACCTTATGAAAAAAAAGGGGGAGTGTGCCAATGTTTTGGTCCGTCCTGGACCCTTATCAACTTCAAAATGGGCTAAAACATCATTACTTCCCTACTTTTCATAAGTATAGGTTGGGTTATTTTTTCAGTCATAATATTGTGACATTGCAACTTGAATGTTATATAGGTAATATAATTTATTATCAAATTTACAATTTAGGTGCTTTACTGTACAGGTATTATCATATTATATTATAAATTTTCTTTTAACTCTTACTTTCATTAAAATAATATTTGCAATTATGTTCCAGCTGCTAATGATAATAAAATCAGTTAAACGTATACAATTTCTTCCACCTTACTGACCTATTGTTGTAGATCTGGGAACCAATGGAGCACAGGGCCATACCTCTCATTAGAACCTCCAATTTAACACCTCGAAGTAATGCACCCATATTCTGGCCAGCTTCTACAACTGGAACTGACTTCTTGAACACCTATGAACACAAGAATAAAAGGGTTTAAGTAATTATCAACTGTATATAAACCATGCATGTTCCCTCAACTAAACAGTAAATGAATCTATTTATTTATACAGTACTGTAATCTTCTCTTGCTTTAAGCCATATATAAAAATCAATACAGTGTTACCATCTTTCCTCAGTGTTATCTGAACACCAAATTATATACACATCAAACCTACATGAAACTGTTTAACCAAACGTGTCTCAATTTCAGTGGGACAGTCTCACTTTTGAACTGTGTGCCACCATACCCCACAACCTTTAGGGGAATATAAAACTATCCAGGTATGGGAGACAGAGAACATTAAAATCCTACAATCAAAATTATTACTGGTAAGAAGCCTGACTGCAAGGAACCACATGAAACTGACTCCTGAGTTAAATATCTTCTAGGAAAAGTATAATACTGTAATTAAATGGTAAATTGGTTATTTTTGGGCTGGTCACTCAGTTGCTTCCCGTACACTTAATTTAGGGCTCTGGTAACATGGACACACACGAAAGTTACCAAGCCCCTGGATTGGTGCAGGATCAGAATTTGGTTTGCCTATAAAGTTAAGGGAAACCTGGGAATCAGAGATCTGGCTAAAACCAAGAAAACCATTACAGAAAGCACAGGTAAAATGAAACAAACGACTACTCTGGATAAGAAATTAAAAGTAAGAAAACCAGGCAAATAACAGTTGGTGGTAAAACAATCCTACTCCAACTCCGCTCACCCTGGTAGCCCTGGTCATGGGTGACCAGGGCTACCAGATGGCAGCCCTGGTCACCCATGGTTCTGGCCAACCTACTACACCTTCACTTGCATACCCGGTGCCCATTAGGATGCACCAACCTCCTAGTCATAGTGAAGTGGTGTTGGCATTTCTTTAGACATTTTGTCCCACAGGGTAAAATGGGGAGGGGGCCCATGCATTTATTTTGTCATTATTTATGTCTCAGGTACATGTATGTTTATTACTTCTTCCTTGTGTGCCCCATGCTGCTTATTTCAATCCAAGTGGGTTTCAGGGTTCTCTTCCAAGACATTGATTCGTATTTCTAATTTTCCACCAGAGATTCCTTCTCTGCTAATTATACTAAATAGTTTGTCTTTATCTACCTTGTCAATTTCTAAGAATTTTGTGGGTGGTAATCATGTCTCCCTTAAATCTTTTGTTTTCAGTGACATGAGCTTTACTTTCAGTAGTCTGTCCTCGTAGGTCATACTTTTCAGCTCGAGGCCTAACTTGGTGGCATACCTCAGAACTTTTTCTAACTTTGTCTTGTACTTGACTAGATATGGACTCCACACTAGAGCTGCATACTCCAGGATTTGTCTGACATATGAGGCATACAAGATTTTGAATGACTCCTTACACAAGTTTTTAATACGTTGGCCAGCCTTACATATGTCATTGATGAAATCCTTTTGATGTGTTTCAGGTCTAGCATGATATCATTACCCAAATCTTTCTTTTCCAAGTTCCTGAAGGATTTCATCTCCCAATTGGTAACATGTGTCTGGCCCCCTGCTCCCTACACCTATCTTCATTACTTTACACTTGCTGCAGCTAAACATTAGTAGCCATTTCTTAGATCACTCCTTCATTTTGTCCAGGTCATCTTGTAGTCTCTTACTGTCCTTCTCTAGTTTAATCTTTCTCATAATTTTGGCAGTGTCAACAAACTTTGAGAGAAATGAGTCTATACCTTCTAGGAGATAGTTTATGTACATCAGAAACAGGATAGGTCCGAGTGCAGAACCCTGTGGGACTCCACTTGTGACATCTCACCATTCTGAGGTTTCCCCCATCACAATGACTCTGTTTTCTGTTGTATAGGTACTCCCTTATCCAATGGAGCACCTTACCTGTTACTCCTGCCTGTTTCTCCAACTTATGCAACAGCCTCTAATGGAGTACAGTACTATCAAACACTTTCCGACAATCCAAGAAATTGCAGTTTGCCCACCCTTCTTTTGTTTGCTTAATGTTGGTCACCTGGTCATAAAATTCTATTAAACCTGAGACATGACTTGCCATCGCTGAACCCATGTTGGTGATATGTTACAAAGTTCCTTTTCCTCAGATGTGTTACAAGGTTTTTTCTCACCTTCTTCTCTATCACCTTCCATGGTATACAAATGCAGACAATCTTTAGTCACAATAACGTGGCTAAAGATATGATGACCAAACCACACATCAGAGATGAAGAAATGACAACATTTCGGTCTGTCCTGGACCATTACCAAGTTGTGTTAACACACGACTTGATAATATATATTATCTTCGTATATGGCAGACTTGTGTCTATACCCTTGTGATGGCTGCTGTAGACCTATACCTTTGTGGTTTTGGCTGTTGGCTGCTACCCTAGTATACGGGGCATTTTGTACTTTTCGTGTCTCCCATAGCTGGTCGTTCGTTCAGATGTTTTGTTCCATTTACCTATTAGTTACCTCAAGAAAGTGAGATCTAGCTTTTCATGCCATTCCTTCTAGTCATTTATTACTCTGAAACACTAATTACATCTCTGACATTGAAGTTTCGAACATATGTTTTCTTACAGTTGTGGATGAAAATGACTTTGACAACTTCTTCCAAATCTGCAGTCCACACACCCACATTACCCATACAGGGTAAAAGAATTTCCTTACATCTTTATAACACAATTGTGTAATCAGCTTCCATTGATGTCCCCTCATCTTACCTCCTATCAGTTTAAATAGGCTGCCCTTGTCCATATCACCTATTTTCCTCAAAGTTGTGTATATAGTGATCATATCCCTTCTGTTTGTTCTCTCGTCTAAGGTTGTGAGGTTGAGTTCCCTTGCTCTGGGGTAGTCCCATATTACTATAGGCCTATATATTAGGTATACACCCCTCTCACAGTAACAATTACCATACTCTGTACTGCATCATCACTTACATTCACCAACACCTTTATCACATCATCGCTTACAATCGTAACCGGAAGCGTTCACATCTCTATGGTGATAGCGTGTACAGAATTACTCGGTTCCCCCATATACCCCATACCAGGTTTTTGCTCAAGATTTTACCAGATTCTGATTTTTATTTCCAGAAGAGCTGTGCTAGTTCAAGGGCCTGGTACAAGAGTCTTAAGCTCCATAGAGTTATCAAGGGTTGCCAAGAAAGAGGTGGTTCATTATATTTCATATTGCTGCTAAATATAGATATAAAGGAGTAAAATTTCCTGTCCATTATTTATGAGAAGTTCTGCTTTTAACTATAAAAAAATCTTGTCATTTTGCTTATTAACAAATACAGTGACACCTAGGTTTACGAATGCCCCTCTTTACAAACTTTTCGGGTTATGAGCCCAATTCCTTCTTAAAATCCGAATTGTGTTACGAACTTTGTCTCGGGTAACGTATTTTGTTGATACGCGCATGGCCGACCTAGCGCGTTGTGGCACGGCGACTGCACCTCACTTTACCAGTGCCTCCCGCCTAGTGACAACCGCGCCTGACTTCTTTATAAAGAATTTAAGTGTTTTTCAGATTTTTGAGTATTTGAACATAAAAAGTAATAGTTATAAATCTCGCCATGGGTCCCAAGAAAGTCAGTGGTAGGTTCAACCTAAGAAAATAGTTGTGAATAGAAGCAGCAGAATATGTCCCTTTCTCATTAAGAAAATGTGTGAAGTATGGGAAGAACTGCGAAGTTTTGTTGAAAAAACTCACCCAGATAAAGCTGTAGCAGGCCGTTGCATTGACCTTTTAAATGACAATGTGATGTCTCACTACAGACAAGTGTTAAAATGTAAGGAAAAACAAGTGTCTTTAGACAGATTCTTAGTAAGACAAGCAAGCAGTGAGCCACAATCAGGTTCTAAAGGTACTCCTGAAAAACGTAGGAGAGAGAGAGAGTACCCCAGAGAAGTCATCATTGCCTGATGTTATAATGGAGGGGGGACTCCACTTCCAAACACTAACACATCTCCCTCTCCCCTCCTCACCATCTTCCATATGCCAAGAACAGTCATCAATAAAGGTAAGCAATAACTTGTACATAATTTAGTACTAAAGATTTGGGTGAATTAAGTATAAAATTTACTTTGAAGTTAATATTTTCGGGAGTGTGGAATGGATTAATTCAATTTATATTATTTCTTATGGGAAAATTCGCTTCGGTTTACAAATTTTCAGGTTACGAACCGCCTCTAGGAACAGATTAAATTCGTAAGTATGAGGTACCACTGTACAGTAATCTGAATTTTTTTTTAATACAGTAAATACTTACACAATTCTTACCTGTAAGTCACTAACAACAGTCTTGATTTGGCGATCAAATCCCAGTAACTCTGCTGGATCATTTTTTCTTATGACACCTTGTTTGAGGGTTCCAGTAACAACAGACCCACGGCCTGGAACATTAAAGTAATTGTCTATCGAGAGCATAAATGGAGATTTAAGATCTCGGGTTGGAATTGATACATAATCATCCAGAGCTTTCACAAGCTTGAGAATACTGCTTTCTCCATAAGGCCCTTGATCTCCTTGTAGGGCAAGTAAAGCTGATCCATTCACAAAAGGAGCATTAATGCCATCAAAACCATAATCATCCAGCAACTCTCGAACCTCAATCTCAACTAGCTCTAATACCTCATCATCTACAAGGTCGGCTTTGTTGACATATATAACAACTTTCTTCACTCCTGCTTGCTTAGCCAACAAGAGGTGTTCTCGTGTTTGTGGCATTTGTCCATCATTTGCTGCTACCACTAGGATTGCTCCATCCATTTGGGATGCACCCGAAATCATATTCTTCACATAATCAGCATGTCCTGGGCAGTCAGTATGTGCATAGTGTCTGTAATTACCAGAAATATGTTAGGGGGGTTTAAAAAAGTGGTAATTAAATATTTGTATCATTATAGCTGCCCTATTTACCAATTTCTTTGGGGTGGGTGCGGGGAAGAGGCATCAGCCCAAAGAAAAATATGAGAGTACTATAGTGAAAGGTTATTTACATTAAAATAAAGTATTGAAGGTAATAAAATGCTTTTTCTGGTGGGTCCTCAGTAGCTTCCAGAGTTAAGAGATTACAGCATGCTGAAGGAAGATGCACCAGGCCTGATACCCACCCTTGTCTACCACAAGACTGAACAAGAATCTGACTCTCTCTCAGGCAAAAGCAGCTTGTAATCAGAGATCAATCTAAAACTGAGAAAAAACCAGTGTCGAATGAAATGAAATGCCATTTTCTGGGTGAGCCCCAGAGGCTCCCTGGAGCTATTGGACTGATATACGCTATATTAGTCTGGGGCTTCAGTCAATGGGGTTTTTCTTATCGGGGACCAAGAGTCAGAACCTGGCCCCCCTCAGAGAGGCACAGGGAGCAATGGCTGAGTGACCGCACAACTGCTCGAGCAACCATCAAGTGACCCAGGACCCACAAATGAATCTTAGCCAACAAGAGGTTTCCCACTGGACCACAGCTGCAGCGATGCTGTCTGAGGGAGAGACACAGAAGCAGTCCGAGAGTCCCACACGAGGCCCAGCCAGGTCCGAACCTGGGACGGAAATAGATGGGACTTCCTTCAGTTCACCAGGAACCCGAACCCGGCGAGCTGGAAAAGAACCTCACATCCCTGGCGAGCACATAAGCCCACATCAATCAGTCATCGAGGTAGGCCAGAACCTGAACCCCTAGCAGATGCAGACGAGTCACCACGATCCGGGTAAGATACGTGAAAATGCAAAGTGCCAGATTCAGCAAGAAGGGAAGGCAACTATAGAGGTAAGCATGCCGCCCAAACACAAAACCTAACCAGTCCCTGAACCCCGGGTGAATTGGGATGTGCCAATATGCATCCCCATGGTCCCGATGACCCAAAACACCCACGAATCGTGGGACCAGGCATGGGCAAACAGAGCCAACCCCCCAACCCCCCAGCACTGAGCGAAACTGCCGGCGCCCCTTCCGAGAAGCCGACTTACGTGCAGAGCAACCACTGCGCCGACCAGACAAAGATGGCTCCGGAGGAGGCATCACCTCAGAAGCTGGCACCAAGGGCCCACCTCGACTTGTCGAAACCCGAGCCCTGACATGACCCATCTGAGAAGTGTGAGAATGTCTACCCCAGATCACCAACAAATTAGAAAGAGGGCGCCAACTGGCAGAAGCCATCTGTAAAACTGAGAAACTATCATGTGCAAAAACAACAATGGAGAGAAAGGAGATGAAAACTTAAGAGCCAGGCCCCAAGCCGAGTTAAAAAGAGAGAGTGAGGACGGCCTGCCGACACACGAGTCAAGAGGCAAAAAACAGACACACTGCCTCCCGGAGCCTCGTCGCAAACAGTTTCAGCAATGCCGCCGAGGCCAACGCCCCAAACGACGGTCTGGCACTCAACATCTCCACATCCTCCACAAGCCAGTCCGAGGACAACTCGAGAAGGGAAAAGAAGGGCAAAACTAAGGCCAGATGTCCATGAGCACGAAGATTCCCAGCAACCAAGGCAGCCAAAAGGGAGGGGACCTGAGCGTGCAACTGGATCAAGCCAACCTCACGAGGAAGCACAGGCGTAAAGGCACACATTGAGGTGCTCAAGAGTACCCACCCCCCAAGTAAATCCGTAACACATTAATAACCCCCCGCCAATCCAGCATGCGGGTACGACAAAAACTGTGCCATGCCCCAAGCGAAGAGAAAGGTTAGTCTGCCAGCCAGGTAGATGCCGGAAGCTCATAACGCACCCAATACGGAGAAGACAAACCGAACACAAAAGAGGCCGGGTCCATCACAGAGGCAAAATCTAGGTCTCGTAAGAGGTACCTTCAAAAACAAAAGGTCAGATTCAAGCTAAGAAAATAAGGGGCAAAAAATGCTATAACCATCAGAAGCTTCAAAACATCATACAACAAAGATTATAGGGGAAGATGGGACAATAAACGTGTAGTTCTCATCCAATAGCTACACTTAGGTAGTTATAGTTACAGTACCATTCTGGTATACAGTACTATACACAAACTGCTTCATCACCCAGTGAACAGGCCTTCTTCAGTAACCAAATTCCAAATTACTACCCCTGGATTGCATTAAGAGGAGTCTTATCAAAAGAGGAGACTTTAGATAACTCATGGTTAACGATCTTCACCTGCCGCACTCAAAGAGGATGAAAATATCCAGAGACACTTGATATCACCATCGTATACACTAGTGAAACACAAAAGTAGCAACTCCATATTTGTGTACTCAGTCTAAATTTAGTTTTAAATTCAGCACCTCCATGCATCAAAGAGAGTACCAGGCAAGAGAACGAGAAGTTTGCTTCACCAAAGCCCCGAATAACTGATGCCGCTACCCGGTGGCGGTGAGGCCGAGTCGTCTGTCAACTCGTTTTCGAAGAGTTTTGTTTGGTAGTTTGGTAATACTGTACTGTATTGATACATTTCATCAAGGTAGATTGAGTGTTTTGTGACTTCATTTGATGGGGAGTTTACTGGTAGTATATTGATCTTAGATCCCAACATGCTCCCTCACATAAAGATGGCAATGGGATCTGGAATGGTGTTTGCTCTCAATGGGCAGAGATAGTCACAAGAGTCTGTGTATTTATAATGGCCCTAGAGCGGTAGCGCCATACACCGAGAAGAGCCACTAAAGGAGGCTAGACTGGAAATATAAAGGTGTAGAATAAGACCAGTCTTCTCAGTCAGATGCACAAAGTCAGATACAGAGCATGGAGCTTTGTTCTGCATACTGACCTAAGATCTGAGGAATAGTGGATGTGTGCCGTATTGATGGTTATCCCTCGCTTTATTTCCTCCGGTGCACGATCAATCTGATCATATGAAACAAAACTGGAGAGTCCACTCTTTTGAAGAACTTTAGTGATAGCTGCTGTAAGAGTAGTCTTGCCATGGTCCACATGGCCGATGGTTCCAACATTACATGTGGGCTTGTCTTCTTTACTACTGGCACTGAACCACCTCAAGGTCACTATTTTACTCACATTTTCATTGATGCCTCCCTGAAAGTAATAATGACATGATTTAATACATTTACAGTACAAAATTTTAGTCCAATTAAAAATTCAAACTACTGTACCAAAAATAACCAAATAAGTCTGATGTAAAATCACAGTAGCTTCCATTAAACAGTCATAAGTGCACGTTTTGCTGGCTTAGGTGTGGATAAGCATATAATTAAGCCAGCTGAGGAGGGCAGTCACAGGAGATACTTATGTGTAGAAATATTGTACTGTATTAAAATTCTGCAATGTGGCATCTGGACCATTGTGGCATCAATAGTACACTGGACCATTAGGAATGTCCCACTGTATTATGTACATGTTATTTGGTCAACCAGGTCCACCCAGTAACTGGATAGGTACCCGAAACTCTGAATATGTAAAGCGGCTTTTTGAATATACAAATTGTCAAACCTTTTAATAAAATAAATAAAGTGTATACCTTGCACTTATCTACCTATCTACCTACCTTTTGGAGGTTCCAGGGATCAACGTTCCTGTGGCCTGGCCTCCCAATTGGTCTCTGGTCAACCAGGCTGTTGGACTCAGCTGCTCGCAGTCTGACGTACAAATCACAGCCTGGTTGATCAGATATTTAATTTATAATTATCATCTGGATAACTGGATTTGATGTTGAATAAGTTCTCTCTCTCAGCCTACCTATTGTACCTCTGCATTTCAATGGGGCTATTTTGTACATCCTGCCATACTTACTGGTTTCACGTGATCTTATTTCTGTGTGCAGACTCGGAACCAGACTCTGTAACCAGAAAATACTATGCCCAAGATTACCATCCGAGTGCCAGCGGGGGTGGTTCAAATAGCTTCGGCTATCACCTCCTTATGTCCGGCCTGTCCCAGACAAAGACAGACAAGTTGATACGGGTGAACAGCCGTCGGCATATGCTTACCAAGACCGTCTTCCAGCTGGTGCCACAGGTATGGGCGAGTGTGGGTGCATAGAGGTGGGCGTGGGTGAGTGTGGGTGCTGGGACGCGAGCCCACACTCGTCTGGCTGCTCCCCCCACACAATACATCGCCACTAACGGGAATCTTTTAAGCGATAAAAATGTGTGTATACTGGTGTCCCTGGACTGGGGCCGAGCGGCCCTCTCTCGCCTCTGCGCGTCTTGGAAGTACACGACGCTGCACGCTCTATAGAGTACATCAATCGCTACATTAATGAGGAAATGAATGAGCTGAATATTGAGATAATGAATAAGCTGAATGGGTAAATGAACAAGCCGAATGCCTAAATGAATAATTTGAATGCATAAATGAGCTGAAGAATTAGTAAATAAGTTGAGTAATGAGTAAACTGAATGAGCTGAATAGTGAGTAAATAAATAAACTAAATGAATGAATAAATGAAGAGCTGAATATTGAGTTAAAGAATGAGCTGAATAATAAGTAAATGAATAAGCTGAATGAGTATAACGAATGAGTTAAATAATGAATATATGGAAGAACTGAATAATGCATAAAAGAATGATCTGATTATGAGTAAATCAAAAAATTGAATAATGGGTAAAAGAATGATCTGATTAATGAGTAAATGAATGAACTGAGTAATGAATAAATGAATGAAGTGAATAATGAGGAAATAAATGAGATGAGTAATGAATAAATCCAATAATAATAATAATAATAACCTGTTAACATTTCTCAATTTTGCTAGAAATCCCTTACTTAAAATTATCTGTTAGATTAAGGACTTGCCCGAAACGCTATGGGTGTTAGTGGCTTTACTATAATGTAAAAACATCAATGCTATGTACAGTACTCTCATTAACCCAAAGTACCTTCTTGTATATATATAAATAAAAATAAAATAAAATTAATAATAACTTATAAAGTTAATAAATAAGTAAATAATAAACAAACTAATCAATGTTAAGTAGAGTAAATTATGAGTCGAGTAAATTAATTGTGAACTCGATATTATACAGTACACTTGTCTGACATCGCTACTTCCATCCACTATTCATCTCATTCATCATTTATTCCCGAGAAAGAGCAGCCTTGACTCTCACTTGGTCCAGGAGTCAGGAGATAAAATTTTTGTATAAAATGAATCTACGAATAAAGGAGGCAGTTCATGTATTAATTACATTATATTTTTATTTTCAAGTATTCTAGCTACTGTAGATGTATTAATTTTATTATTAATAGAGAATCTTTTTGTTTTATTAACAAGCTTAGGTGTACTACACAGCAATGAGCTGCTACCCTATGTTTATTTATTTATTTATATACAAGAAGTTACATTGGGGGTTAACAGAGAATATAGAAAATAGGTTGAATTAACATTCTTGTAAAGCCACAAGCACGCGGAGCATTTCGGGAATGTTGTATGAAGGACTACACAATGTAGATAATAATAATAACAATAATTATAACAATACTAATAATAATTTATTTACAAGAAAGTACAATGGGTTAGTGAGATTACATAGGATTAATAGTTTGACATTCACACAAAAGCCCCTAACACACACACATAGCATTTCGGGCAGCTCAAAATCAAAGATTAAAATTTTTGATCTAGATCAAAATTTAGATCTAGATAAAAACGAAACTACAGGCTCATCCAGCCTCCTTAAGGTGGATTTTTACAGACTCACAGCAGGTCCAGTCATACATGGAACATGAAATATAAGGCTCATCTATGAGCCCCTACTAGCAAAACCTGGCTACATTACAAGAATATAAAGGACTTGCCCGAAACGCTATGCGTGCTAGTGGCTGTACAAGAGTGTAACAACTCTTGTATGTATAAATAAATAAATAAATATCTTCTACTTGATACACTCAGGAATATTGATAGAGAAGACGACCCAACACAAGTCACTTCGTACAAAACACTGAACAACAAACATTAAAACATAATCTATTTCAACCCCAAACCAGTAATATATGCTAACAAATTTATAAGCTACACTGCATAAATACACATAAAACTACACATACAAAAATAGAATAATAGAAAATTTTTGTTTAAAACCCGGACGAAAAAAATTGTAAACACAAGAATATAGGTACGAAACGACAGTACCCTGGCGAGGATGGCCCTATGATGTCGCCTCCGGCCGCCGGCTCTCACCTCTAGGGTAAATTGGTCTGGTTCTGGTGTGTATAATACACTCCCCTGGGGCTTATTACACCCCTGGGGTAGCTGGTGAGGCGTAGGGCCCGGGGGGTGAGGTGGGGGACCTCCAGTGTGTATGTGGAGAGATATGGTCTGCAACCACGATTTCGACACACCCTTGGAACTACACGAAACTGGTGTGGGGAGGGTAGACTTGTGGCAGGTGTGTGTGGGGGGGGGAGGAAGGGTAGACTTGTGGCAGGTGTGTGGGGGGGGGGGAAGGGTAGACTTGTGGCAGGTGTGTGTGTGTGGGGGGTGGGTAGACTTGTGGCAGGTGTGTGTGTGTGGGGGGGGGGAAGGGTAGACTTGTGGCAGGTGTGTGTGGGGGGGGGGAAGGGTAGACTTGTGGCAGGTGTGTGTGTGTGGGGGGTGGGTAGACTTGTGGCAGGTGTGTGTGTGTGAGGGAGGGTAGACTTGTGGCAGGTGTGTGTGTGTGGGGGGGGGGAGGGTAGACTTGTGGCAGGTGTGTGTGTGTGGGGGGTGGGTAGACTTGTGGCAGGTGTATGTGTGTGAGGGAGGGTAGACTTCTGGCAGGTGTGTGTGTGGGGGAGGGTAGACTTGTGACAGGTTTGGTACATTGCACATACCTTTCCAATGAGCCATAAGTTTGAGTTGGCCATCAATAAAGGGCTCTTTCATTACCTGTGGTGTGGGAGGTATCACCCGATACGTAGGTCTACGCTTTATTTGCCAAAATCGCGAGGCGGGACTGACTTGTTCGATGCCTGTCATAAGGCTTTGGCGATATTTTTTTGTCACGTTTCGGAAAGGGCTTTTGGAGGGGGACAGTGTTTTCTCTTTAGGATTATATTATTGTACAATGAGTGTTAGTTCTTTTTTGAGGTTACCCTTGTGTAGTGAGATTGCGTTTCTATTGCCACCATTTTATACTTGTGCTATTCATGTCCTTCAGAGGCTTTGTCGTGTGGAGGGGTTCTTGCTTTTTTCGTTTCGAAAGGTGTACGAGGAGTTGTCCTTTCGTCGCCTCTGCAGTGGAGGGAACGTTCCCTCTTTTTGATTGGTTGGAGGTGTGGCGAACGGTCTATTTGAAATTTCTAGCTCCATTACAGAGAGAATTCCTGTACCGGTATTTAGAAGTCGTTGGCAACTAACGAGCAGTTTCTGATGTTGGGGATTAAGGATACAATAATGACAAGTGTGACCTTTGTGGAGGGGTGGAGAACGCATATCATGTGTTTTAGTTTTGTCGAGGTTGGGGGATTGGTTGACTAGAACGATTATGCATTTCTGCAGGTCAGGGTTTCGTATTTATCCTTTACGTTTGTTGATGTTTTATATTCAGGTCCTTATTAGAAGGTCTGCAATACTGTACTTTTGGTTTTATCGGATTATCTTTATTGTTTTTCACACACACACACACACACACACACACACACACACACACACACACACACACACACACACACACACACACACACACACACACACACACACACACACACACACACACACACACACACACACACACACACACACACACACACACACACACACACACACACACACACACACACACACACACACACACACACACACACACACACACACACACACACACACACACACACACACACACACACACACACACACACACACACACACACACACACACACACACACACACACACACACACACACACACACACACACACACACACACACACACACACACACACACACACACACACACACACACACACACACACACACACACACACACACACACACACACACACACACACACACACACACACACACACACACACACACACACACACACACACACACACACACACACACACACACACACACACACACACACACACACACACACACACACACACACACACACACACACACACACACACACACACACACACACACACACACACACACACACACACACACACACACACACACACACACACACACACACACACACACACACACACACACACACACACACACACACACACACACACACACACACACACACACACACACACACACACACACACACACACACACACACACACACACACACACACACACACACACACACACACACACACACACACACACACACACACACACACACACACACACACACACACACACACACACACACACACACACACACACACACACACACACACACACACACACACACACACACACACACACACACACACACACACACACACACACACACACACACACACACACACACACACACACACACACACACACACACACACACACACACACACACACACACACACACACACACACACACACACACACACACACACACACACACACACACACACACACACACACACACACACACACACACACACACACACACACACACACACACACACACACACACACACACACACACACACACACACACACACACACACACACACACACACGAGATATCTCAGCAACCAAGATAAAACAAACATTAGGCTAGAAGTGAGGAAAGAATTGGCATCTAACCCGAAGTTGGTGCAAAACACAGTTGATCGGAGTAAGTCCCTGATCATTTTTGGCTGCAAAGAAAAGGCGATAACATCTAGGTCGGAAAGAGCTGTAGAAGAAGCTAAAGTAGTAGATAAAATTGTTGGCCTCGTGGAAGGTCTTACAAACAGAGAGAATGTGTGCGACTACAGGAGAATAGGCAGGTACGTAAAAGGGAAAGATCGACCTTTGAGGATCACCCTAAACGGTGCCAAACAGATGGAAGAAGTACTAAGGAATGCTAGAAAATTGCAAAGGGATGAGGATGGGAAAGGGTGGTCGTTAAGACGAGATCTTTCAAAAGAAGATAGAGAGAAGCTGAAACTGAACCTCGCCGAGGCAAAACATTTAAATGAGAGCAGGAATGAAGAAGAAATAAATTCTTTTTTCTACAAAGTGATAGGGGTAGGCAAACCAGTAAAGTGGTACATAAAGGCAAACCAACAAAATCAATAGAGAGAGGGGGAGTGAAGAATAAGGAGAGGGGGAACAAGTTCCTGAAGATTGCATACACCAACATAGATGGAGTGAGATCGAAGATACTGGAGTTAAGTGAAGTAATACAGCTGCAGACACCAGACATTGTTGCACTCACGGAGACAAAACTTGAAGATGTAATTTTAAATGAGGTCATATTCCCAAGGGGCTACTCAATTTGGAGACGGGACAGAAAAATTAGGAAAGGCGGTGGCGTTGCTGTGCTGGTAAAAGAACACCTAAAGGTGAAGGAAATAATGACTGCCAATCCACAAGAAGTTGACATAATAGCACTAGAGATCTGCTATGAGGATGATAAACTAATGATGATAAATGCATATAGTCCACCGCCAAGCAGCACATGGTCAAAGGAGGAGCTAGATAGTAAACGTGAAGGTCTTATAACAATAATGAGAGAGATTATAGCGAGAGCGGATAACGATAGATCACGACTGTTGATAGTCGGTGACTTCAACTTGAAATCCATAGACTGGGAAGCATATGAAGCTAAAACAGAAGATTTTTGGACCTGTAAATTTGTAGACCTCATCCTGGAAACATTCTTGTATCAACATGTTAAACAAGCTACGAGGATGAGGGAAGGGGACGTTCCCTCCATGCTAGATTTGATATTTACCAGGAAGGAGGAAGAGATATTTGACATTCAGTACCTTCCTCCCTTGGGTAAAAGTGACCATGTCTTTTTGGGAATAAAGTATGCAATGCGTTATAAGCTGGAAGAAAATAAGGAGGTTGAAGCAGTTGAAAAACCAGACTTCAGGAGAGGACATTATGGTGACCTTAGAAATTTTTTTAGTGAGTATAATTGGACAGACTTGATGCTAGGCAAGGAAGTGAATGAGATGTATGGCAAGTTTTGTGAAATATATGATAAAGGCACAAAAAAATTTATACCAAAACAGAGATGCAGAACTAGGAAACAGGATTGGTTCAATAGAAATTGCGAGAGGGCTAGAGACCGAAAGACACAAAAATGGAATCAATACAGGAAGAGGCCGAACCCCCAAACATACCAGCGATACAAAGATGCGAGAAACAACTACACGGCAGTGAGGAGAGAGGCAGAAAGAAATTTTGAAAAAGGGATTGCGGACAAATGTAAAACAGAACCAGGTCTATTCTATAAATTCATAAACAACAAATTGCAGGTAAAGGATAATATTCAGAGGTTGAAAATGGGAAATAGATTCACGGAAGATGAAAAGGAAATGTGTGAAACACTAAACGAAAAGTTTCAAAGTGTGTTTGTACAAAATGAAATCTTTAGGGAACCAGATACAATAAGAATTCCAGAGAACAACATAGAACACATAGAGGTGTCTAGAGACGAAGTGGAAAAAATGCTCAAGGAGCTCGGTAAGAACAAAGCAGCTGGCCCAGATGGCGTTTCACCATGGGTTCTGAGAGAATGTGCATCTGAGCTCAGCATTCCACTTCACCTGATCTTTCAGGCATCCCTGTGTACAGGAATCGTAGCAGACGGGTGGAAACAGGCTAACATAGTTCCAATCTACAAAAGTGGCAGCAGGGAAGACCCCCTCAATTATAGACCTGTATCATTGACAAGTGTAATAGTGAAAGTATTGGAAAAACTAATCAAAACTAAATGGGTAGAACACCTAGAGAGAAATGATATAATATCAGACAGACAGTATGGTTTTCGATCTGGAAGATCCTGTGTATCGAATTTACTCAGTTTCTATGATCGAGCCACAGAGATATTACAGGAAAGAGATGGTTGGGTTGACTGCATCTATCTGGACCTAAAAAAGGCTTTCGACAGAGTTCCACATAAGAGGTTGTTCTGGAAACTGGAAAATATTGGAGGGGTGACAGGTAAGCTTCTATCATGGATGAAAAATTTTCTGACTGATAGAAAAATGAGGGCAGTAATCAGAGGCAATGTATCAGAATGGAGAAATGTCACAAGTGGAGTACCACAGGGTTCAGTTCTTGCACCAGTGATGTTTATTGTGTACATAAATGATCTACCAGTTGGTATACAGAATTATATGAACATGTTTGCTGATGATGCTAAGATAATAGGAAGGATAAGAAATTTAGATGACTGTCATGCCCTTCAAGAAGACCTGGACAAAATAAGTATATGGAGCACCACTTGGCAAATGGAATTTAATGTTAATAAATGTCATGTTATGGAATGTGGAATAGGAGAACATAGACCCCACACAACCTATATATTATGTGAGAAATCTTTAAAGAATTCTGATAAAGAAAGAGATCTAGGAGTGGTTCTAGATAGAAAACTATCACCTGAGGACCACATAAAGAATATTGTGCAAGGAGCCTATGCTATGCTTTCTAACTTCAGAATTGCATTTAAATACATGGATGGCGATATACTAAAGAAATTGTTCATGACTTTTGTTAGGCCAAAGCTAGAATATGCAGCTGTTGTGTGGTGCCCATATCTTAAGAAGCACATCAACAAACTGGAAAAGGTGCAAAGACATGCTACTAAGTGGCTCCCAGAACTGAAGGGCAAGAGCTACGAGGAGAGGTTAGAAGCATTAAATATGCCAAAACTAGAAGACAGAAGAAAAAGAGGTGATATGATCACTACATACAAAATAGTTACAGGAATTGATAAAATCGACAGGGAAGACTTCCTGAGACCTGGAATTTCAAGAACAAGAGGTCATAGATTTAAACTAGCTAAACACAGATGCCGAAGAAATATAAGAAAATTCACCTTCGCAAATAGAGTGGTAGACGGTTGGAACAAGTTAAGTGAGAAGGTGGTGGAGGCCAAGACCGTCAGTAGTTTCAAAGCGTTATATGACAAAGAGTGCTGGGAAGACGGGACACCACGAGCGTAGCTCTCATCCTATAACTACACTTAGGTAATTACACTTAGGTAATTACACTTATATGACAAAGTTATATCGTTATATGACAAAGAGTGCTGGGAAGACGGTACACCACGAGCATAGCTCTCATCCTGTAACTACACTTAGGTAATTACACGTAGGTAATTACACACAAACATACACCCAGGAAGCACCCCATAGCAGCTGTCTAACTACCTGGTACGGTACCTATTTGCTGCGTACCAGGGACATCAGGGTGAAGGAAACTGTCTATTTGTTTTTCTGCCGGCTGCCGGAATCAAACCCCGGTCCCTAGATCCACGAGTCTAGAGCGCTGTCTACTCAGCCAGCCAGCCAATGGGTTGGGAGGCTGGAGGGGTATACTGAGGATAGAACGCTGGGATTTTTGGAGGGTCGTTTACGTTACTTGAGTTGGGAATTATGTTGGATGTTAGGGGAGGGTTTGGGGGATCATTTTACTGATTAGTGTGTGCATTGGGGATAGTGCATGTTGGGTATTTTGGGCATTGCAGCATAGCTTTGTCCTTAAATCATTTGCTATTTTTTCTGATTTACAGGATTTTGATGAGTCGTTTGTTGTTTCTTGATGTGTATGGGCCGTTGTGATTTTGTTGGGGTTGTGTTCTACTAGTTGTGTGTTTGGTACTGTTGATGTATGTTTGTACTATACTGTTCAGGTGGAGTCTTGTTGTGGGTTGTGCTTCAGGTTCCGTTTTAGTTTGTCGAAGGTTGTCAGTTGTTGTGTATAGCTATGGGAGTTCTTTCCTCTTGCAGGCGATGAGGCACAATAACGTGGCTAAAGTATGTTGACCAGACCACACACTAGAAGGTGAAGGGACGACGACATTTCGGTCCGTCCTGGACCATTCTCAAGTCGCACTCTTGTGTGTGCAGAGAATGCACACGACTTGACTGGTTTTGTGTGACCTTCTGTTCCTCCTGTTTTTTAGGGTTGTGTGCCATTCATGTGTTTGTAACTGTAGTGCAGTGATGGGTGGTACTGTGCCTGGGAACAATACGGATGCGGATGGTTCTGATTGTGGTATGTTTGACAACTTCCTTACACATCTTTTTCGGAATGTGGTGGTTCCCTGTTGGTTTCCGGGTGCTGGGTGTTTACTGGTAATCAATGTATAAGGTGTAGGCGATGAGTCACAATAACGTGGCTGAAGTATATTGACCAGACCACACAGTAGAAGTTGAAGGGATGACGACGTTTCGGTCCGTCCTGGACCATTCTCAAGTCGATTGAGAATGGTCCAGGATGGACCGAAACGTCGTCGTCCCTTCAACTTCTAGTGTGTGGTCTGGTCAATATAAGGTGTAATTTATGGGGGTTCTGTGAGCTCCGAAGGCTTTGTTCCCGGTGGAGGAAAGTTTAGGTTGTATGGTCCCTGGGGTTTATCTGTTTTTTCCGGGTTCGGAGTGTAATGACCAGGTGTTTCATGTAAGATTATGGGGCTCCCTTTATGCCGCCTTACCAATGTAAAATGTAATCATTGAAAATAACAATTTGTGTTTGTAATGTATATTATAATGAGTCACGGTGGATACCTGTGTGCATGGGTGTACATGTAAGATTGGGTATGTACAAAGTCCCTTGGGAGGGTTTCAGGTTCAGGGATTGTGTGTGGTTGTTTCCATTGGTGTTTAGTTGTGTACCTGGCTGTTGTGTGTTGAATCTACCATGGGCCTGTTTGGAATTGGTCCCATATGCGGCACATTATAACAATAAATTGGAGTGCCTGTATTATACTGTTAAGGGATTTGTGGGTGTGTACATAGGGGACCATACGTGAGTGTGTGGTTCTGCCACTTGTGTCATTGTGTATTGTTTCCATTTTAATGTGTTGTGTGAATTATCATTTGTGGATTTATATTAGTTATTCTGTAAATGTTAATTGTCCCAGGTTCTGGGGATTTGTAGCATGTATCTGCTAAGGGTGTGGTGTATATTTATTTTTGTACTTGCTTTGTAAATAAAAGAAAAATATTAGCTGCTTCTTATGGACCAATAGGAGCTGCCTCTTATGGGCCAATAGGAACTGCCTCTTATGGGCCAATAGGAGCTGCCTCTTATGGGCCAATAGGAGCTGCCTCTTATGGGCCAATAGGAGCTGCCTCTTATGAGCCAATGGAAGCTGCCTCTCATGGGTCAATAGTTTCCTTTATTCTTATCTTTGTGTGCTCTAGTATAACAAAGATGCCATTCTAATATATTTCTGACATTCAAGTTGGCATGACAGGGCTGCAGTAATGTTGAAGACTGTATGATTGTGGTGGAAGTGTGTGTGTGTGCCTCTGTGGAGGCTATTCACTATGAATTCTAAATTGATTGTTTTCCCCTTGCAGATCTTCCGAGTGACAAAAATGGCAGACCTTAAAAGCTTACAAGTTTTCATCTTAATTTTGTGTTTAAGTGAGCTTATGATAATTGGCTTGCTCATATTTAGCCATGGTTTTCTTCTGACTAGACAAGTTATTCTTGCGAATTCTACCTGTGAGGATTTTAAAGAGGAAGCAGCACCAACTGAAACTAAAGACGATAAAGTGGCAAAAAGTATCAAGGGAGAAAAAGAGGAATGTAAGATGCCTGCCACATTCAAAAGAGCCATTGTACTTTTAATAGATGCACTGAGATATGATTTTGCGGCCTACAATCACACTCTAAAGGATGAGGATGCCTTACCTTATCAAAACCAAATGCCAGTATTCAGAAATCTTCTCCACTCTAAACCAGAGCAAGCCCATCTTGCCCCGTTCATTGCTGATGCTCCGACAACCACCATGCAGCGACTCAAGGGCCTCACTACCGGCAGCCTACCTACCTTCATTGACGCCAGTCACAATTTTGCAAGGTATTTATTTGAACAAATTAATGTAAGATTTTTGTTTATACTTGGTCTTATTTTTTATATTACTGTATGTTTAAATCCTCATATCTAATTTTATATGCTACTTAGTTAATATCAACATTTATAAACCATCTTTGCTTAACCCTTGCACTGCTCACCTATTTTCGGCAAAAACGTCTTGGTACAATTGTCAAGGACATATTTTTGTTATTTTTACAAATGTTCAGGTAAATTTAATGTCAAAATGTTTCCAAAGTCAACTATTTCCATTTCAAAACACAAATAGTAATGAAAACATTAAAAAACATTAAAATATAGCCAAATTAAAAAACAAAAAGCACAACTCTCTGAGCGCCTAAAGGCGCTTTGCGCAGTGCAGTGGTTAAAGGTTCTCTTCAATTTACAAATTCTAAATGACAATTAATCAAGATTTATATTTGCACACACCTGCAAATTAGAAAAAAATGCCATCAGTTCCTCTTAACTTCCTACAAAACACTCACATTGCTCTCATGTGTCCACCCAATCACAGTTGTGTCTATCATTAAACTATGGTAATTATTTTGAGATATGCCCATTGTAGCAGTAGAACTGTTAATATAGAAGGCAATAGAGCTAACATTAAAAGTTGTCATTTCATTAGAAGGGAGGATATGCCCTTTGTAAAAATAAAGAGTGAGTTGGTAGGGACCTGACTGGCAAGGTTAGGGTCATCCCCCCTCCCCCCGAAGGATTAATGCTCATGTGTAGAAAACAGTAGTGCCACAGGCATCCTGTGTCGAGTCATCAAACTAGGAGAATAATTTATGTATTAAAGAATTAGTAGGAATAATCAATTGTGGTTAAGTACTTAGGTTAAAATTAACGTCAATTAGAATGAAGAATAAGTCTCGTATGTTATCAAAGAAGCATTTGACTTCAGTAAGAATATGAATATATGCAAGAAGAAGTATCTCGTTACTTGGAAAATTTGTACCTACCAGCTTGCTTGTTAATTCCTGTAAATTAGTGTAATGCAAGTGCTATTGAATATTGTAATTAGTCTGGCTCGAGCATCTAGATAATTCCCAACTGTTTTGGAATAATAAGTCACCTTCAGTGACGAGTACAGGATTTTAGCTAGTACTGTAATCTTCTTCAATGATTAATTTGGCAACTTAGCCTAGGTCAGTCTTAACTTGAGAGACCAGGCTAAGGTCAGTGGGGGTTGAGACATCCTGGGGAAGGTCAACATCTCCTCTCCAGAGGCATGGCTGAACAACTGGCCTAGCTGTGGTATTTAAGGTAATTGTTCTGTCTGATTTAAGTGCAGTTGTAGACTCCACATTATTTTTGTAGTCATTTGCCTCAGTTAGGAAAATATTCAGTTTAGGAAGTGTTCAGATAGGGTGTATTAATTTTTATTTTCATTGATAATCTTTGTTTAAAAATCATTTATAGAATTTATGGTGTTTAGTAGAATTTCCCCCCAACAGTTATTTTACATTGTTTTTGGGCTCAAGCCACATGCTGGAGACTAGGCTCCCTCTGCAAGTCTGCAAGCAGTTATTTAATACCTCAGATAATCCCTTTGTACTTTGATTTAATTCCACACTTAACGTAAATCTTATCCCTCCTTTTCTGATAACTTTCCATCCACTTTTGGGGTTTATGCCTAATTGACGGTATCCTGCTTCACCGTCAATTGGGGGAATTACTCGGTGGGGTAGAAGGTAGCAGGTGGTGGGAGCATCTCAGAGGTTTGCGGTGTAGCATAGTAGGGTACGGAGTCCTCGGGTCGTGATATCTAAATGATCGAGCATTTTTAGATCTTGAGGAGTGGTACTGAAGGTTACACAGCAGAACTCTGGTCTGTAGATTTACTTAATAACGACCAGCATTTAACCAGTAAGTGAGGTTAAAGGCTGGGCCCCGTTACACCATAAATAACATCTTTCATTTCTTATAACAGTGAGGAAATATCAGAAGACAACATAGTAGACCAGCTGGTGAGCCATGGGAAGCGTTTAACTATTCTTGGAGATGACACGTGGGAAGGGTTATTCCCAGGCAGGTGAGGCAAGTGTTAAAGTTGCGGGTTACTTCTGCAGTATTTGGTACTGTTGTGGGGAATTTGGAGTGCAGTGAACAAACATACTGTACACAGATATTTGCAAGAGAAGTCTTTCTTCAGCCATTTTTGCTGTGGTTTTAATGTCTTAACAATGTTTCCAAATCATTTTAAATTATTGATAATAAATATTTAATTCTTTGTTTCTCTTGCTACATGAGATAGCAGCATGTGCCAGATGCTATATGATATCAAAGGTTCATGCATTGGTCCTTGTATAGTTCATAAACTACTTCTTACAATAGTGTTCTGACCTTTCAACTCGGCTTGGCACTCATGACGTTTTCCTCGCATGATGCTGCACGAGTTGCACCTTCAGTGTGTCAAAGACCTGACTGTCTTTGACAATTGTTGGATTAGGATGCCTAGTCAGTTTTATCTCCTAGTGAGCAATCTTTTTACCAGCTAGCTTTTAATGTTATGGCTGGTGTTGTATCCACTCCAAACCCTTGTGCTTTTAAATTTCTGCAACTGCCACTGCCACTCTTAAACTGTAGTGTTCTTCTTGTCTCTTCTATATTCTCTGAAATTTCATTGCCTATATTTTTGGGATTAAACTACAGTAACTGTTTGTCCACTAATCTTTTGGTGGACAATGCAGTTATTTGCAGCTACTGGTAGTGCAGCTGTTTGGTGCAGCCCTAGACAGGCTACAATTCCTGCAGCCTGTCTAGGCCCTCCTGTAGCAGTCCTCTTTAATCCTTACAACCCTCATCAGTTAGCATTATCTACAAATAATTTATTGTGTTTGATTATGCCTTTTCCAGGAGGTCATTTAAATAAATCAGAAACAGTAGTCATTCAAGTACTGAACCATACAGGATCATGCTTGCCACTTCCCTTCATCCTGACACCACTTCCCATTATAACCCTCTTGTTTCTTGCTTGCCAGATACTCTCTGATCTAATATCTTACCTGTTACCCCTTTTTGCGTTTACACAGCAAATGTCTTTACCGATACCCCTGCTTGCTTTTCCAACAGTCAAATCAACCTTTAGTTGGGGGCAGATTAAAAGACTTTTGACAATATTACATGATGTACCTTGGCTACCTTGAGGTGCTTCCGGGGCTCAGTGTCCCCGCGGCCCGGTCGTCGACCAGGCCTCCTGGTTGCTGGACTGATCAACCAGGCTGTTAGACGTGGCTGCTCGCAGCCTGACGTATGAGTCACAGCCTGGTTGATCAGGTTACAAATCAGTGTAAGCCATTCATCTTTCTCTTTCATACTGCTGACCTAGCTGTAGAACTGAAACTCAAAGATTGTGTTCATCAGGCATGCAGATTTCATTCCACAAAATGCTGCTTCAGTTGCAAAGTGTTTTCCCTTCTAGATGTTTCACTATCTTATTTCTGATTATTTTTCCCCATATTTGACATGGATACATATCAGTTTATAGTCTAAGGCATGTCAAGTTTGTAGTTCAAGGCCTCATCTGTCTCCTTTCTTGAATGAGGACTCCATGTGGGTTGTATAGTATCTCTACTGCCTTTTTTAATATCCAAAGCAAAATCTGGTGTGGATCTACTCCTTTGTTTACATCTAACTCTTCCAAGTGTGAAAGTTGGATGTGTTGTCACCTGGTGGTGGAAGCAAATGTAAGTTAAGGTTGGGTAATTGGTAGTTAACCAGAGCCCACTATTGGCGCTCACTTAGATAATGTCATTAGGAGCTCTTTAGGGATTTGAGTATATGGGTCACAGAAGTTACAAGGCTATTCTTGGCTGGATTTAAGTTTATTTCTCTAAGGACTCCTTGGTTCCTATTTGGAAGGCTGGAAAGTTAACTGTGATGCTGTTGCAGTAAGGTAAACCCTGTCTTGACTGTGCATTGTTCTTAATGGATATTATACCTTGGGAAGGGACAGATGCATACAGTACAGTATTCACAAGTATATAATAACCAACCCTGGTGTTGACCTCAACTCCAAATTTATCTCTGCACTTTAAATTTACTCCATAGTGCAGTATATATATCAGAGAGTCACTACACCACTCTCTCAGTATTACCTCGGTAATACTGTATCTCAGTACCACTTTAGTATCTCAAATTGGTTGTCTCCCAAGATATGGAAGGTTTCACAGACCATATCTCATGGCAGCCCTATCCTGGCATTACATTAAGGTATCCATCAATGTTAGTCCCCGTGGTGTTGTGGTAAGACACTCGCCTGGGGTTTCGCGAGCGCTTTGTATTGGATTCGTCAGTCCTTAACCGTAGCCTCTGTTTACCCAACAGTAAAATGGGTACCTGGTTGTTAAATGATTTGGTGGGATCGTATTCCGGGAACATAGGATCAAGGACTTGCCCGAAATACTGTGTGTGCTAGTGGCTGTTCATGAATGTAAGGACTCCTGTTAGTGCACCTTTTTTTCCCACTTTTGAATACTGTACTCCACTCTTGTTAATAAGCGTCTTGCATTTTCTTTGCCTTACCAGATTGTGTTAACGTGCTATTTAAAAAATTGATTTTGTGTGTGTGTGAGTGATCTTTCCATGTAATTAGATAATTTATTGGTACAATATATTTTTCTTATAAGGAAAAGTAGAAGAGAACTTTTAAATTGCTAGAAAAATAATTTCACAGCATTAATTTACTGGTATTTTAAAATCTAAGTGATATTTACACAAACGTGTCCTCCTACAGGTTCAAGCGCTCATTTCTGTACCCTTCTTTCAATGTAATGGATCTTCACACTGTTGATAATGGTGTACTGAGTCATCTGGAGCAAGAAATGGCAAGAAATGATTGGGATGTTCTCATTGGTCACTTTCTTGGAGTTGATCATTGTGGCCATCGTTATGGTCCAAATCATCCAGAAATGGCAGCCAAACTGAAGCAGATGAATGATATAATAAAGTTTGTATCTTTGATTATTTTCTAAAGTTTATTTTTCTAAAGAAGGCGACTGAATCCTCCCTCAGACAACTGCTTTCTTCTGATGATCTATGACGATCTACTTCGTCAATCTCCTTAGACTCTTGTGTTGATTCTAAGTTTATCTCTTTCAATGGAAAAATATTTACTATCTCAAAGTACATGTAATTTAATTACATGTAGATCTGAAAACATCTGAAGGTACATGAGCATACTGTATTTCAATTTTTTTGCTGTGCTTCCTCAAGCAGTAAATATTTTTTAGTAAACAATATCTCCTACTGTTCCTTTTTGTGATATTTTATAAAAAATAAAAGCAATCGTAAGATGATTACTTCAGTTCTGTGAACCATATGTTCGTTTGATTTTCTCCATCAGAAATGGTTAGTACTATATAGCACACACGAATAATTATTGATCCCACTAGGCTGCCAAGTCTGATTATATTCACCAGATTCACTTAATTGTTTCGATGCAATGAGTTTTGTTCCATAGAATTTGAGCTGAATTGAATTTCCCCCCTTCCCACACTTAGAAGATTATTATGCATGTGTTTTTTATTGTGTAGAGGAAGAGCTATAAACAAGTGTCAATAAATAAGAAAATAATGTTTACCTACCTCCATGTAGGCCTGGAGGGATGTGCAGGCAGAGTAGGAGGGTGGGGAGGGTCTGTCATAGCCTCTTGCACATACGAGTAGTTGCTGAGTTGGAGAATATTAAAGGGGGAAGGGGGATGTTACTAATGTTTCTTTATTTATTCATTACAGTCACTAACATCTGAATTTTCAATACTATATTCTGTACATAATAATACAGATACTGTACATAGGTAGATATAATAATAATAATTAGAAAAATTTCACAACCTGACAACTTTGCATGCATAATCTTAGGTTGTTGCCATCAGAAATTTATTAGTTTTATGTAACTTTTCACTTCCAGTCAACAGTTCTAATGATATACAGTATGTTTCTTATTTAACAAAAACTATCACTTAACATTATTGGTCACCGGGCAGGCGCGTGGTCAACTTAGGGGTCATGCACCCAATGTGTGGGTAAGCGTGCGGTGACACCTAAATGTGTATCAAACTGACACCTCGTTCAGTTTGATAACATCAATTTTCATGTTACGTCTTTCATTTTGGTATCAAATTGTTCGCAATAAAAAGGCGCATATTTTAAAACTAGTCCCATAATAATAGAGCAATAACTGGAATTTTAACAAATATTTTAATTCTGGAAGCTCATCATCACAAAATTTTATATATATTTCCAGTGTTCTGACAGAAATTTTTGTGTTACATCTTTCATTTTGGTATCAAATTGTTTGCGACGTAAAGGTGCGCATTTTAAAACTAGTCCCAACATAATAGCACAATAAATAGAATTTTAACAAATATTTTAAAATTTTGACCAAAAACCTATTTATAATCATATAAGTGTTCGGACATCAAGTTTCATGTTACATCTTTCATTTTGGTATCAAATTGTGCGCATTCTAAAGGCGCTTATTTTGATACTATCCCGAGGTCGATTGGATAAAAAATGAATTTTATACAAATATTTTTGTAGTGGACGCAAGTCCGGTCCAAAGTTAGGATTCAAGAGAAAAATTTTGGACGAGAGTCCGGTCCAAAGTTACCGATAGTGTTAAAATACAGATTTGATATATCATACAGTATTTATCATAGACTCCAGGTTCACTATTGGAATGTAATCCAAAAAAGCACGTAAATGCAAGATGATTATGAGCAGTAAAAAAATTATAATGTGGTTCGGTATTTGACCATCACAAATCAGCAACCCGTCCTCTTAAAAATAAGATCGCTTTCTGGGGGGAGCCCCGTCGGCTCCCCGGAGCTATCCAGGCTGAATGGATATGTATAACTTTCTGGCATCAGTCAATGCAAGGAGTTCTTGCCTACCTCGGACCACGAGCCAAAACTTGGCTCCCTCTAGAGAGGCACGAGGAGCAATGACCAATAAAGACCCCCCGTATTGTTGGGAGCATTCTATGTCTGCCATCGACCGGGATAGGCACCCAGAAAGGTAGGCGCCCCAAAACAAACCCCTATTCTGGTAAAACTATTGGGACCAAAGACCGAACAAGTGGACAAAAACTCTCCAAACGAAAATTAGCAAACGAGCATGATGTCATCATGCCAGAATAGTGATGGTTTGTTTCGGGGCGCCTACCTTTCTGGGTGCCTATCTCGGTTGATGGCAGACATAGAATGCTCCCAACAATACGGGGAGTCTCTTTAGGCCATTGCTCCTCGTGCCTCTCTAGAGGGGGCCAGGTTCTGGCCCGTGGTCCCCGGTAGGCAAGAACTTTATGCATTGACTGATGCCAGAAAGTTATACATATCCATTCAGCCTGAATAGCTCCGGGAAGCCTCCAGGACTCGCCCAGAAAATGGCGTTTCATTACATTCAACGCTGGTTTCTTGCTCGTATGCACGCTATGGTCAGAAATGGATGTAATTTGAAATAAAATTGGCTCACGAAAGTGATATGCAGTACTGTCCTGTTTTCTGTTTGAGTCGTCTGGCTTACTCGGTAAGGCTAGGAAAGGAAAATTTCAGTTAACATTTTTCATAAATTTTGAAACTTTAGGAAAATTTCCTGCCCCCCTAATCTACTAGAGGACCCTTAACTAACTGTTTTGGAAAAAAAAAATCCAAAATTTATTTTCAATTTTGTTAATTTTCAAATTACGTCCATTTTCGGCCATACAGGCAAACAACCAAATTCAGTCGTAATATGTAAGAAAATAGGTTGAAATCAGAGCATCAGTTCAGCTGAGTGAACCTTATACTTGTATAGTATTTTACTGGTGAACCATCCTCGTGTGTTTGGATTTTGTGGTACTATAAAATCATAATCCCACAGGTGCAGACTCGTGTAGAGCAAGGGCCAAATGAATATTTTATGATGCCAGTAGATTTTATATAATATGTAAACAAAAATATACATACCTGTTCTTTTTTTGTTTTATACAATATGATTTGTTTGTTTTGAGCACAAGCAGTAAAGATTTTTTTTCTTATTTCCAGGAAAGTGGCTGATGGTACTCAAAATGACACACTTCTCATTATTTTTGGTGATCATGGAATGACCAAAACAGGAGACCATGGCGGAGACTCTCACGATGAAACTGAGGCTGCGCTGTTCTTATATAGTCCAGCACTTAGCATAGTGTCCCCTGAGTCTGAGCATGGGCGTGCATTGCCAATTGCTCAAGTGGACCTGGTTCCCTCACTTGCTCTGGCACTTGGGGTGCCAATACCTTATTCTAATTTGGGTAAAGTTATGGAGAATATTTTGGTTACTCAAGGACAAAGTAATGTAGAAGCTGAACAGCGGCAGGTGGTTGCTTTGGCACAGAATGTTAAGCAAGTTAGCAGATATTTGAAAGATTATAAGGCTTTAGGAAATGTATTCCCACATGATCTGTGGCAGAGAATAGAATTGCTTCAGAACAAAATGTTGCTTGGATTTGAAAACCTCTCGCTAAGAGAACAGAAGAGTGTTTACAGCCAGTATCTGACCCTTGCCAAAATGATGTGTGAGGAAGTGTGGGCAAAGTTCAGTGTATCAGAAATATGCAGTGGCCTTATTCTTATGTTAAATAGTTTAGTACTGGCATCAGTTGTGTCCCACTGTAAGTTTATCCTCAAGAACAAGATTCCTGTTGTGAAGAGGGTTTTGTTTCTCACCGTTTTAGTTAACGGTCTTTTTGTTCTCATTCCTTATTCCAATATTTCGGTACTTGGCTGCGCTGCCAGTGTACTGATAACATTGTGGATGTATCTTCATAGAGAAGTTTTGAGCACAGCTCATCTTAAGTTTAGCACAAGTGACATATGTTCACTCTTGTTGGTGCTTTTCTTATGTCTTGGAAGTTTCTCCAATAGTTATGTTGTTGTGGAAAATTATGTAGTAGCATTTATTCTGCTTTCTTGTTTAATAATTCAACTTATTATGCCACTTTTCATAAAGAATAAGAAAAGAGGCTTCAATGTATTTTCAGGGAAGAATTTCAAATTGGTACTGAATTCTTATTCTGTTTTGTGTGTCTTCATCTTGTCAGTAGTATTTTTCTCTGTGCGTTTAAGCGCATGGTTCTGGAAGTGTCGAGAGGAGCAGACGTGGTGCACTCCAAGCCAGGTACACATAACAATGACAGGGCTGCCACAAGAGTCACGTAACTGGCGATATTTTACCAGCCTGTTTGCCTTAACTTTACTTGTGTGGTTACCTCGGCGTTGGCTCTTGATGTGTGGTAACATGAATGGCTCTAGGGTAGGAATCATATTGTACAATTCTATTCCAGTTGTTTGTGGGGTGCTTATAGCAGCTCACTGGGCTCTACAAGCAGCACCCACTCTGCAGAACTCGAATCTCAATAAATATGTAGTATTTCCTTCACGTATAACATACGCCCTTACTCTGATGTATGTGGCAGCGTTATATATTGTACCTTTATTCATTTATGAAGTGCCACCCTCAAAAAATAAAACAAGTATTCAGTCAGTGATGGACAACCCAAGTGCTTTAATACCACAGCTTTGTAAAACTTTAGTGGCAAAGTACAATATGGGTAATAAGAAAAGTTGTAATATTCCCATAGTGTATGGGTTAGCCACAGCTGTGTCTGCCCCACTAGTGGCAGTGTTGACGGTGGTATGGGTGGTGTTAGCGATGGTGGCTGGCGACGGCCTCACTCCTGCCATGGTGCTCCTGTTTGTCTCTGCCATAGCGTGTCTTCTCATCCAAGCTCTTACCTTATGGCAGACTGCAGACAAATTAAGTAAGTTGTAAACATTGTCATCAATTATATATGTATTGCCTTTTAATATTTGTTTAATTAAGCAGCTTTGCATGCTTGATTTAATAGTTCTGTTATTGTTGTTCAGCCTTTTAGCATGAAAATCTAATTTGTATATATCCATACACAGAAAAATCACAATAACATTATATATCAATAAACAAAATCACAATGAAATTCACAGTTGACTAGAGCATGTCTGGGAACATCCAACACATAGGTTCGAATCCTCATCAAGGTCCTTGTGAATTTGTTCATTGTATATATCCGATACTAATAATGGATAAATGTGTATGTGGTATTACTAAGTAATAATAACAAATGGATAATGATAATACAATGTACTAGGTGTGTAATATTCATCCATCCATCTATATACTGTATATCAGTATCCATCTATCCATCCATCTCCTCATCTGTCTATACCTCTATCCATTCATCAATCGAACAACTATTTATCTCTGTTATCTGTCTCTTTCTCTGTCGATCTGTCAAATGTGTAAGTGGTGTCCAGTGAAAGGAACTCAGTCTTGTGAAATACTAAAACAAGAATGGCTACCCCTTACTCTGATACGGCTGTGGCTTGAGAAACCTATGAAGCTGTGGAAGAATCATCTGTTTTATACGAGTACGGTTAAATTATTGACAATATCAAATTTGTTAATTTTCCCCCGAGATAAGTAAATAATGGTGCGTGTTACTATAAGAAAGAGTTGTTTTAAAAAGTTAGTTAAGAACATACTTAGCTATGTAGCTGGCAGACAGTAATAAAAATCGTCGTTGGGGTCGGAATGTGACCCTGGCACGCTGTTCCCTTTTGAATTCTGGCGACCTCGACCAGCCTATGTTCATCCTATACCCTAGACCATTCCCTCTGCCAATTTGGGTGAGGCTAGTCCCAACCATGTGGCCATCAACTTTGAACACCAGACAGACATTCTCACTCTTATAGTGTGTGTAATAATAGGTGCTATATCACTTGCATCCGACCTTTGTGTTAGGTCCTTATTGTGCCTAGCTTCATCAATATTATGACCCTTATGTTCTCTAAGCAATAAGGTCTGAATTTCACCGACAGAGAACGATCTTTCAACACCGCGTCGGACAGGTGTTTGGGAGCCAGAGGCGCGTGCATCATCCATGGTTGCTCACTCAGGACTAACCCAGTCAGCAGCCCTAGGGCATTCTGGGAATTTTTTCCAAGATTGCTGCCTCTCACTGGAGGTCCCAAGAGTCCATTTCATACAAAACCTACCGTGAGCGCGTTTCAACCATGTATGAAAAAATAAAAATACTTTTGTCGGTTGGCGCAGTAATCAGCGAACGGCATTTGTCGTTTGGGGCAGTGCATTGGTTAAGGACCTGCCGAAACACTATGCTTTCTAGTGGCTTTACAAGAATGTAAGAACTCTTGTAAGTATATATAAATTAAAAAAAATAACTTAAGTGTTGTTACAGGATGAGAGCTACACTTGTTGTCCCGTCTTTATCATGTAACGCTTTGAAACTACTGACGGTTTTTGACTCCATCATCTTCTCACTTAACTTGTTCCAACCTTCTAACACTGCAAAATAAAACCTTTCAAATATTTTTTCAGCACCTTTGTTTCCTTAGCTTGAGTCTGTGACCTCATTTTGGTGAGGCTGTAGGTTGCATGAATTCTTCTTTATCAATTTTGTCGATTCCCGTTACCATTTTGTATGTAGTGATCATATTGCCTCTTTTTCTTCCATCTTCTAGTCTTGGTATATTTAATGGCTCCAACCTCTCATTCGTTGCTTTTATCTTTCAGTTCCAGGAGCCATCTAGTTGCATGTCTTTGCATCTTTTCCAGTTTGTTGATGTGCTTCTTAATTAAGATATGGGCACCATACCACTGCTACATATTCCAGCTTTGGTCTCACAAAGGTTGTGAACAATTTCTTTAGTTTTCACTATTTATGTATTTAAAAGTAATTCTGAAATTGGAAAACGTAGCATAGGCTCCTCGCTCAATGTTCTTTATGTGGTTTTATGTTTATCACCAAAAAATCTGAGAACATAAAATTTGTGTGTTCCCTTTTGAACACACACAAATAGCAACACAAGGAAGGTTATCTTGAGATCATTTTGGGGCTTTAGTGTCCCCGTGGCCCGGTCCTCGACCAGGCCTCCACCCCCAGGAAGCAGCCCGTGACAGCTGACTAACACCCAGGTACCTATTTTACTGCTAGGTAACAGGGGCATAGGGTGAAAGAAACTCTGCCCATTGTTTCTCGCCGGCGCCTGGGATCGAATCCAGGACCACAGGATCACAAGTCCAGCGTGCTGTTCGCTCGGCCGACCGGCTCCCTCAAAAGCTGAGTATGCAAAATTCAGGAAAGCTGAATATACAGTACCAGTATAAGTATGAGCCCACTAAGCAAAGAAACAATTGATAACCAAGCTACTTTTGTTTTCTATTTACCATGCTGTCTTACATGTTTTTCCTAGTATGTTAAGTGATTGCCAATGAGCGATGTGTGCATTAGTTATCTTTCTCACTATCATTTGAGGGTGCAGACTATTTGGTTTCCTATCAGGGCACCACTTAGCTAGACTTAGGTGCTATTTTCATCTTGTGTCACGGAGAGTAAGCAAGCATTTATGTATGACTGTTAGTGGTAAATTGCATAATATCATTTTCTAAATAGCTTCTCCACCCATCTCACCTCTGCTCCCTCTTTGCTTTTCTATCCTCCCTCCTTGCATGTTCTTATACGTATAATGGTCCACACTATCTGATCATAAATATAGCAAGAAAATCATTAATACTGTTCTATACAATATTGAACAGTGCTTTGTAATGTCAGATGTAAAACATTATTTGTATAATGAATATATTTTGTAATTTCAATAACTGAATTACAATCTGGTTGCAGGTGTCATTATGAAGCCTTCATGGTCTTGTACGTGTGTGTGGTTCATCTTGAGTATCCATGGCTTCTACAGCACTGGACATCATCCCACATTCCCGACCTTGCACTGGTCAGCAGCGTTTGTCGGGTTCGCAGGTGAATGGAGGGGTACCAACCTTATACCTGCACTCCTAGTTGGATTAAACACCTTTTCTTCACAAATATTATTTGGCTTTGCTCTACCACTTGTTGTATTGGCGCCACTAGCTCTTGGAGTAATATTTCCAAAGCTGCGAGGAAACAGGTAATTATATCTGTGAATTTTACATTTTATATTGATAAGGTAAGGGTTGTACAGATCTGACTTTTAATCTGACAATGGTTATTGAAAAGAATTCTAGTAAAGCAGAGAAAGTTGTATGATTCCTTGGTGGATTGGGAAAGGGCATGTTGTTGGATTGATCATGGAGGATTTAGAGAGTTTTAAATATAGGGTAGGAGGGGGCATAATAGCAGTAAAATACATCTTTATAAATCAATGACATTTGAAAAGAGTTGGTAAAAACAGGACATGATTTGATTGTTGTGGTGGGCTTAAAACAGGGCGTGTGTGATGTGTCTTCCTGACTCTTCTAGTGTACTGTACATACTGTTAGTTAATGAGGTCGAGTCAAGAACACCATGGAGCAAGAGCAGAAGTGTACTGGACTAGTAGCATCAATTGTTGTTGTTGACATGTTTGTATGCAGGTGATGCAGCATTCTTTGACGAGAATGAGGAGGAAGTGCAGAAGACTGAGTGAGTGAGTTTAGTAATTGAAACTGGGATAAATTGTTGTTGAAATCCAAGCAATGGTCTGTTGAACCAAGTTATCTTAAGTCATATCTGGACTCTAGGCCTGGCTTGGAGAACAGTAGTAGCTCCAGAACCATCTCTAGTACGATCCAGGTATATCTTTGTATGCTGGTGATGCAGTGTTGCTTGATGAGTGTGAGCAGGACTTGCTCAAGAGCTTGCACAAGAGAAGAAAGTTTAAGGTCATTATAGGAAAAATTATGATGCGTGTTTGAAAGAAGGGATATCTTGGATTTGATAGATTCTTAAAAATTGACAAAATGTAGTCATTTAATCTGTAGGATTAAAATGCTAAAAGAGATATTGAAAGAGGGAGTAAGTTTTAAATATTTTAGATTTAAACACATGATGCATAATCTTACTGAAGCGAACATAGGAGTCATAAATATTCATACTCCGCTTAAGTAAAACAGAAATAAGTAACACATAGTGGGCCAGCCAGAAGCTTAGGGCCAATGTAGGAATATCCCTGAAAAAATATATATTTTCTGAGGGGAGCCCGTCAGCTTCCCGGAGCTTATCCAGGCTGATATGCTAATGTCAGACTTTGGCATCAGTCATGTGTATGGAGTTCTGTGGGCCTACCGGGGACCACGAGCCAGAACCTGGCCCCCTCAGAGAGGCATGGGGAGCAATGGCCTATAGAAACCCCCGTGTTGTTGGTAAAAATTTGAGCATGAAAGGTGAAATGAAGGAGCATTATGAATAGGAGAAGAGTAGCAGAAGAGGTGAACGAAAGAAAGGAATGTTTGTATGTGAGTTAAGAAAGGGTTGAGAGATAGTATAGCTCTCCCAGCCCAAATATATGGAAGTGAAACTTGGGTATGGATAGAGCGCTCAAGAGTACAAGCAGGAAAAATTTGTCTTCTGAAGCAAGCAGCTAGTGTAAATATGATGGATGGGTATAATAGTACTATATGCAGTATATGAGTGAAAGGTCTGAAGGAAGAAAACCCTTCCTCAACAAGAAGGATGTATACTGCTCAACGCTTTGTCCAACTTCCAACTGTCGGATTATTCCAACTACCTTTGTGTTTTTGAGTCTGACCAGGCACCAAACCAGCTTCCCCACCAACCTCCACCTGTATAAGGCCAATGTAGTTTAGCATCCAGCCACTGAGTTGCTGTGGTGCTACTTCTGCACCTGCTCCGACAACTCGGTCTTCAGTAGAATAATAGAAGTACACGTACGTCGCATCAGGCTTGGATACCCATGTGCATGGGAAATAGGCTTACAGGTTCCAGAAAATAAGAGGAAATGACAGCACTGTGGAGAAATGCCCAACAGACCACTGGAACATTATCATTATGGTCCCCGGTAGGCACAGTTACAAGCCCCAATAAGATTTCAACTTAGGTTCAACAGAGCAGAAGTTGTTGTTAAACACATGATGCATAATCTTACTGAAGCAAACATATGAGTCATAAATACTCATACTCCACTTAAGTAAAACAGAAATAAGTAACACTTAGTGGGCCAGCCAGAGGCTTAGGGCCAATGTAGGAATATCCCTGCAAAAGAAATGTCTTTTCTGGGGGAAGCCCCGTCAGCTCCCCGGAGCTTATCCAGGCTGATATGCTAATGTCAGACGTTGACATCAGTCATGTGTATGGAGTTCTGTGGGCCTACCGGGGACCACGAGCTAGAACCTGGCCCCTTCAGAGAGGAATGGGAAGCAATGGCCTATAGAAACCTCCGTGTTGTTGGAAGCATTCTATGTCTGCCATCGACCGGGTCAGGCACCCAGAAAGGTAAGCGTCCCAAAACAAACTCCTATTCTGGTGAAAATTGCTACCAAAAGCCGAAAAAGTGGATAGAACTCCCCAAAAAGAAACGAGCAAAGGAGCATGACATCCCATGATGTTACACGTTGCCGCGCCGCTGTCTGTGCAGGTCCCCCCCTCTCCGGGAGGGGGAAGGGGGAGCCCCAGACTCTCATTCCAGCTATCCATCCTTCAGTTAGGTTAGGTTAGGAGGGGCCTACAAGTACAAGGCCAATCTTCCGGGTCCCAGCACAATAGGGCCCAATTTGCCACCTCGTGGAACTGTAGCAATGTTAGCTTCTTTTGATCAGTTGTGTTGTATTTGTACAAAACAAAGGCATTATGCAAAGCCATTTGCAGGAAATAAAATGTTATCTTTTAGGTCCACTTGTGAGTTTTCCTGGTAAAATGGTAATACCATTTGATCGAAGTGGTCCACACCTTTCATGAACTTATTGTACCATGCAGCCTAGTGGTGAGAAAGAGAGCCTCATGGCGCGCAGTTTGAAACAAACCCAAAGTAAATCGGATTAAAATTGAATTTTATACAAATATTTTTTTCAGGACATTTTATGTCCACATCGTGGAAGTGGTTAGGCGAAACAGGACTCCAGGTTATGTCCTGATCCGCATAAAGTGTTAAAGCTCTGATTGATTACATTACAGCTTGATTGGTAATTTAAACATGATTAATAGACACCATACAGCAGATTGATAGCACATATAAGTAGACAGCAATGATCACAATGGTAAAGATGTTCAGATTGGGTACATAAAGATTGGGAGATTGGGTAGCAATAGATACAGTGCAATTTTAAAGCAAAAGGTAAAAGGTAATATTTATTGTTGTTATAATGCATTATTCTGTGGTGTTTTGTTTCAAGTATTTAGTGAAGCTATTATATATTGTTATGTACTTTTGTTCACAAAATTATTATTTTTCGTGGCTGGGAGGATTCTGTTAAATATTCATTCATGACTACACATCCAAGCATGATTGGAACCCAAGTGATTGGATTGGAGGATGTTGAGTGTACAAGGGGTAAATTTTACACACACGTGGTAAAGGCAGATGAAGAGACTCATGGAAAGGAAGGCTGAACAGTCAGAGGTTGGAAGGTGTGAGTGATGATGCAGCCTCCTGAAGAAACTTCTGCTGTGGTCGCAGCTCTTGAGAGAGAGTAAGGCAGCAGGGCTATAGATGTGTATGGGCTGGTAGGTGATGGTGAGTGAAAACCTCATTTAAACAATTTAGAAAATGAAAAGTTTAGATCTTTCGAGATGTGTTTGTAACTTGGATGTGTTAAGTCGATTATTAATATGTGAACATTTATAAACAGAATTTGTAGAGGTTCTTTATCATTTATGATACTGGTGGGATGCACAGCTTAGAGGAGAGAATATATTAAAATGAACTGATTGAAACTGATTGCATGGTGATGGTATGTGGAAAATTGTATGTAAGTTTATTTTAAGTGTAATGGAGGTAGCGAAGGATAGTGGTGAATAACATTAAAACAGTTGTCATGTCCCCACAGTATATACGTACTGTACAAACATTATCTTTACCTCGTTTCCAAGTTTCACTTGAAGGGGATCTATCTATAGTGCTTGTGTGGATATAAACTTAAATGACTATCGATTCCTTCACTTTACAGATTAGAAAGTGAGGACATAAAGCGTGGAGAATTCCTCTTGGTAGATGAGCCAGACCAAGCCGAAGATGCCCTAATATTTGTTGGCCTGTCATACACCCTTCTGCATGCGGTAAAGGTAAGGGTTTCTAAACATTTACACAGCAGTGAGAAAATGTTGAAGCTGCATGACGGGATTGAACCCACATCCCTGAACTTCTCAGGCACATGCACAGTTTGATATGTGGATTCATTCCAATCACATGGCTTTAAAATTTTCTTGTAGATATATCAATTACTTGTCATTTCATTATGTATTTACATATCAAGTTCTGTGACCTTGGTGCTTGAACTCTTAATGTGAATTAAAACAAATAAGGGTAAATGATAATGCTCGAATTTTTGATACTGTATTAATACAAGGAAAGGACATCATAGTACATTTGGCAAAATTCCAAACAAAAAAGCTAATGTGATTTAATTTATACTCATTTTCCAGGAATGTTTGGATGGATTTTGCTACATTTTGTGTTCACAGTTACTAACACCCGCTGGGAGTTTCATAGCTAGCAAACTTTGCATTCATAAAACCTATATTTTTGTGTATTTTTGTTTAGCTGGTTATGATCAAAACTACATCAAATTGAACATATGCAAGTTATACAGTTCTTGTAGCAGTAATAAAAGTGAATGTGGGCCAAGTTATGATGTTGAAGCAAGAAGGAAACTCTGTGTTTGATTTTGGCATGATTGGAGAAGTACAGTGTAAATACCTATGATGTGTGATTGACTAAAGAGGTGTTTTTTAGAAATACCCCTTTAGTAGCTCCTGTAAGTCAGCTACTGGAGCCTAAGTCAGGATAGTTTGATGGATTTGATGTTGGCTCCAGTGTAAGTCTACACAGGAGCCAACCAGAACGCTGACAGACCACTAGGCTCTGAGTGACTCAGAACCTTAAAAGAACAAGTAACCTTGCAAATTGTCTATCCTCATTCCTTCCAAGGGCTATATAGTTGTAATGGCTTAGTGCCTTCTGATAATTACCTTGCAAATTGTCTAGTTCTCCATTCATTGTAAAGGAGAATGCATTAGAGAGCATAACTCAAATCTGACTGCAGGTAACCACTTGCTATAGCACACACTCTTTAAAGCACTAAAAATTCTCTGCAAACAGGTCTTGCGACTTTGAAAATTGCCAGGAATTATTCTGAAACTACAGAACCTCATGAACTATCTTGGCTACCACTAGATGGCTGCACTTTTGAAACCCCAGGGTCAAGTCCAAGATTGGTTATCCTTAATAGGACTATCAGTGTTATTGCAGGGGGTTCCATGCTTTACAGTTCACCTCATGGAGTGGTGCTGCATCTTATTATGTTCTTCTGGTCTGATGACATACTTTGAAGGGTCACACTCTCCTTGTGAGGATTACAAGACCAATGAGTCAAACATTCTCTGAAGCCATCAGAGTCTGCATTTTGGTGTGACTCCTCTTTAGTCACTTTGTGCATTGGCGTTGGTTTTTGATACATGGTCTCTTAACTGAAACCGTTGTTTCACCAGTTTACGGTTTGGGTGCTCAGTCTCATTCAGGTATGTGTTTACTAGTTGTGTGTTTACTAGTTGTGTTTTTGCGGGGGTTGAGCTTTGCTCTTTCGGCCTGCCTCTCAACTGTCAATCAACTGTTTACTACTATTTTTTTTTTTTTTTTTTTTTTCCCACACCACACACACACACACACACCCCAGGAAGCAGCCCGTGACAGCTGACTAACTCCCAGGTACCTATTTACTGCTAGGTAACAGGGGCACTTAGGGTGAAAGAAACTTTGCCCATTTGTTTCTGCCTCGTGCGGGAATCGAACCCGCGCCACAGAATTACGAGTCCTGCGCGCTATCCACCAGGCTACGAGGCCCCCTATGTGTGTGTGAGCTGATCTTATTGGTAGGTGTGTTATGCATGTTATTTTTCGAAAGACACTCCTGGTCCTACATTGCAAATTTTCTCTTGGTAGTATCCCTGGACTTGCATGGTGGTGGTCTTCAGCCTCTCCAGTTATAGAGGAGGGGCTGAAGCTGGATCCTTTTTTTTTGGGGGGGGGGGGCTTTTGGTTCTGTTTCTTCTCCACAGCTTTTTTCAATCATTGTGTTTTGGTTGAACTTTGGTTGATATGGTTCCCCATCTCTTCTCTGGGTATCTTGGTTATTCTCGGCCCCCCATGCAGGACTCGTCTGCCCAAGCGTGTGTTCTTTCTTACCATCTCGGGTTTGGTTGTCTTTCCAGGTCCAACCCTTTACATGATCATTCTAGCTCAAGTCTGCTTGGTATAGTGGGTGATTCTTTCTTGGTTAGTGTCCCTGGACCTCTGTGGTGTGTTCTGGTCTGTCCTGTTTTGTCCAAGGTTCAGGGACTACTATATTTAGAATGTGTTGCGAAACTTCAAGGTTCCATTGTCCAGTTCACCTTTTCAGCTTGATTCCGGCTTCTTGGTTCTTCCGAGTTTAGCCAAGATGGTTTTTCCCAGTGGCATCTTTTTGATGTTTATGGCCTACCTCAACAACTGGTTGCTTATTGTCTTCCAGCCAGTCTGCATGTTAGCAAACCAGAGTTTATTCCTTTCACGGCCATCCAGGTTTGGCTTCCTGGTATTCTTGTGGAAGTCCCAGTTGATTCCATGCCAGGTTGAGACATGGTTGGGTCTGGTAAACTTGGTTGGCTACCCTTTCTGGGCGGCAGTGGCTCCGCTCCGCCTGCAGGTTCATCACTGTCTGGTGTCGGAGAGATCCTGGATCACTTTCCAGTTAGTTGAGCAGTTGTACCGGAACTTGAACTTTACCTTTGTGGTGTTCCCCATGGGTGGAGTTCGGCTCCAGGCATTGTTCTGGTTCCTCTGGTTCAATCCTTCATGCCATATCTTGATTCATAAGGTGCAAACTCCATTTGCCCTGTGTTGGGTTTTGGTTTGCTGGATTTCCTATTGTGGGTTTGCAGGGTTCAGTTATGTTGCTTATCTGCTGTGTGTTGTGCATATTTTTCTGGCAATTTATTTATGTCACATGTGTTTGTATAAAATATCTTAATAATAAAATGGCAAATTGGCCTTTTTATCCATGTGTCGGCTGTGATATATGTTTGATGTAGTTGATACATTAGAGTGAGTGAGTTCATTTAAATAACACCCTAATGAAAACATTTTATTTTACAGTTATTTTGCTCAGCATTGGCAGCGTTCATCCTACGGCGACACTTGATGGTCTGGAAAATTTTTGCACCACATTTCATATTTGAAGGTGTTGGGTTTATTGTCACAATTATTAGCGTGCTTACTGGCATATGGTTTACACAGAGGGTCTTGAGAGTGCTGACTTCTTGGAGTGAAACCCTTTATCACAAAATTAGTTGATACGAAGCAAAGAATCCATCACCATTTCTCCAGTTGTTTGAAAATTTTCAGTCGAGAACTACAAATTTTACATAATAGAAGTGAATACAGAACAGGAATATGTATAGTCGAGGGTATGTTGAAGGTTACAAGTTAAGTGATTACTTTGTTTGACTAAATAGTTTTCTGTACAGTATGCACATATTTTATATTTTTAATAAATTCATTGTTATACAGGTGCAGACGAGCTGTTCATAAAATGTTGACGCTAGAAATGAAATAATAAATTGTTAATTTGTACCACAGTATTGTGGCACTGCCATATCAAAAGATACTCTATATATAACTCATTGAATAAGAGCTTAAGTTTAAAGTGATGTTTATCATATGTACAAACACTTCATATGTATATTTTTATTGTAAATAAACGTACAGGACAATAAATGGTTTACCAGAATTCTCATTTTGCCTCTATTTGAATACAGAAATTGTGTTCTCATTTGTTTTTTTTTTCAGATCAGTGAATAGGCATAGCTAAAGTTTGTATTGATGCCATTGCTAAATTATCATCACTATATTATCTTTATTGGTTTTCTTTGTATTGTGTATTTTCTGGGGGGAGCCCCTACAGCTCCCTGGAGCTAACCGGGCTGGTATGAATGTATTAGACCCTGGCATCAGTCAATACACATGGAATTCTAGTCTTACCGGGGTCCACAAGCCAGAACCTGGCCTCCTCGGAGGCCCAAGGAGTAATGGCTTATAGAAACCCCCGTGTGGTTGGAAGCATTCTATGTCTGCCATCGACCGGGTCAGTCCCCAGAAAGGTAAGCGCCTTAAAACAAACCGCTATTTTGGTTAAAATATTGCTACTGAAAGCCAAACTAGTGGACAAAACTCCCCAAATAGAAACGAGCAAACGGGCATGATGTCACCACGTCGCCTCACCGCTGTCTGCGCAAAAACCCTCCTTGGGAGGGTGAAGAGAGAGCTTCAGACCCTCGTGCCAGCTATCCACCCTGCAGTTCTGTGACTGATGCGAACTAGCAAGGTCATGCTCCACTGACTCCCGAGTTTCCAGTTCTGTGCCTTGTGGTGTGGTGCTTTCTTGTTGGTGGTGTGCCGCACGCTTGAGTGGCATGAGGCTCATATGGTGGTCCAGGTTTTCCTGGGAGAGCGAGTTTGAGCACCTCAATGCGAGCTTGTTCGCCCCTGCCCTTCCTCGGGTTGTTGGCATTGTGCAGGTTCCCACCCTCTTGGCTGTCCTGGTCGGTGAGAACTTGTGCGTCCATGGCCTGTTAGCGTCGGTCTTGCGGTTCTTTTCTCCTCTTGAGCTGTCCTCAGACTGGCTTGAGGATGACGTGGAGGTGTTTGGGGCCGATCCTGGGTCTGGTGCGATGTTCTCAGCAGTGTGTGGGTTGCTTGTCTGCTCACCAGGGATTTGGTTCTTTTCCAGCTCACCAGGTTTGGGTTCCTGGTGAACCGGAGGAAGTCCCTTCTGGTTCCCTCTCAGGTTCGGTCTTGGCTGGGTCTTGTGTGGGACTCTCGGACTGCTTCCGTGTCTCTCCCTCTGGAGTCTCTTGCTTCAGCTGTTGTCCCGCCTTCGCCTGTTTCTGGGGGCTTCCAGGTCACACTGTAGTTGCTCGAGGGTTTGTGCAGAAGCTCTGAACTTTGCCATGATAAACTACCCGCTGGGTCGGATTTGGCTTGTCGGTTGTTCTGGTTCCTTCGGGGACATACCTTGTGCCTCTTTCGCGATCACTGGGTTTGGCCTCAAGATGTCTTGCATCGGCTGCTGTGTCGCCGGCCTCCTCTTTGGGTTTTTCAGGATTCAGTGCCTTGGCACCTACCCAAGCCCTCGCTCGATGTTTTCACAGACGCGTCTTCTCTTGGCTGGGGCTTTGTGACAAGTGCTCACTAGGCCAGCCAGGGGTGGTGGGATCGGTACTTCCGTTGGGCCCACAACACAATCCGGAAGTTTGCATAGGTGGGGATGTCGCTTCGGAGGGTTCAGGTCACTCGTGGATCGACGATCCGTCTCCATTCTGACTGCTCCTACCGGTTTGCTCCCTGGTTCAGCAACAGCTGAACCAGGGTAAACAAGGGAGAGTAGTCCTCTTGGCTCCTTGGTGGCTGGCCCAGCCTTTGTTTCAGGCGCTGCTTACCCGGTGTCCGAACCCAATGGTCTTCCCGTGGCTCCGCCTCTTTCAGTAGATTGGTCCGATTCGTTGTTCTCCTTGAGTCTTTGCGTCTGGTCTTTCTGACTGGAGTCTCTCCATTTGTATGGTGAGCAGGTGGCTTCGTTGTTAGTGTCCCACCTGCGTGCTTCATCTCGGTGGCAGTATGAAATTTCCTGGCGGTCCTTTCGTTATTTCTTATCCCTTTGTAGGTTTACTTCTGCTCTGAGAAGGTTGTCTTTTCCTTCCTGTCGTGGTTGTTCTAGGTTGTTCATCTTATGCTGAATACTGTAGACACTCGCTAATCCGGAATCTGACCATCCAGAAAACGCCCTAATCCGGCCAAAATCGTGGCCGGATAAAGTTATCTCACCATCCAGCCAAAATGTCCATGGGAGCCGAACCAGCGGGTGTTTGGCCGGATAAAAAATCTAAGCCGGTTAACTTGTTGCCGATGTTACACAATCCGGACAGTCAGCCAGACAAGTGGTGAATTGTTCGGATCAGAAAGCCAGGCGGCGGGCCATACTGTATTAATCCCGTACGACTGTGGCTCTATGCACATGATGTAGGAGGGGGTTGGGTGGGCGGGTGGTGTCGGGGGAGAGGGGAGCGTTGGGAGGGACCGCCTGGGGGATAGCCTAGGGGGATAAAGGGGATGTGTAGGGGCCTATACACTACAGTACAGGAATTTTCTCATCCAGCCCAGTGAGGCGTCACAGGCAAGCCAAGTGCCTTCAACCAGTGAGGCGTCACAGGCAAGCCAAGCACCTTCAACCAATGAGGCCTCGCAGGCAACCCAAGTGCCTTCAACCAGCAAGGCTTCAGCAGCTGGCAGTTAAAACTAACTTTGCTTAATGAACTGTACAGTAATTTTAAGTGTTAATTTTAGTGTTGTGTTAGAATAAGTTACGTAAATTGTCAAGAATTCTTAACTTCAAGATGTTGCATCAATCAATAAGACGAACAACAACAAGGTAAGTAGAGGTTTCTAGTTGAATATTTTATAATTGTATGTGGCAAGGCAATTCAAATTATGTTGTTTGTGGTATAAAAATAGTTCGAAATGGTCACTTTTGGACTCCGAGGTAAAGAAGTACGTTAATCCGGAAAACGTGATGATCCGGCTGGGGTCCTTCCCATATTGTCCGGATTAGCGAGTGGATGCAGTACTGTCACCTCATATTGTGCGGCACTGGCGGAGCCACTGCAGCTTGCTTTTGGCATTGATGTTACTTCTGGGTAACATTAGCCTTGTGTTACACAAGGCTAATCAGAGCGATCTGTAACTCGTTCCCACAGAACAACACTTAACCCTCATGAGAGATCTTGCCTTAATAGTTCATTTATATGACTCACTTCACTATAAGGCTTCCTATCACTGCTGCAATTATAGAGGATTAATGAATTCCAAAAGAGTATACTGTACTCAGGACATCAGTTTACATGCACATATAATATAATCTACCTATGCTGTGAGTACATGTAGTGAAATAATCACTTGCACGTGTACGCTACTTAGTGACTCTCTTGAGAGTTGTCACTCAATGCTGGGCACTAAAGTTTTGAGCTTTTAACCTCTCTAGTCTATCAGATTCAACTGCTTACCTATTCCAGATTTTTGCAAGTGTATCAAACTGGACTATCACATTGGTCACCATGCATGTGAGACAATTGTTCAGTAAAATCAAATACTACCTACTTACATCAGTTCACACCAAGTGTGCACATGTCTTCAATCACATGCTCCTTTGCTGTGATTGCAGGTGGATTAAGCACTGCGATAATTGTATGTCAACTACCTGTGGTCTCCATACCAAAAACAGGAAGAAATTACCGAGGATGATATTGCTGTAGCTTCCATAAATGTTACGCATCATCAGATGTTCTCTGCTCCACAAACGGGTCATGTGTCTGTGCAAAGACTGTGGTTATCCTCACGATTGCTTTCACAAACTTAATGCAGTCAGTACTGCAAGGCCACATGGATCCTATCTTGGCTGAGATGTAACTCATGTCTAGCTAATGCAGTAGCTGCTCCAAAAATTAATCTTCTATGTCACACACACCTCCAGCTGCACTTGTTAGCTTCACCGAATGACAGTATAACTGCGCCAATCAAAATATAGCTTCTACATTGGCCTGCCATCTGATTGGGCCTTCCCAGAGTTTGAGTTACATAACTGAGTACTGTAGAGGTGTCATTCTCTCAGCCTGGGTACCTGAGGTCAACGTGACCTCACCTCCTTTGTACCAGTTTTTTTTAAACAGTCTTATAACAAAAACAAAGTTCCTGTACCCACCTGTTCTAGGTGGGTACACAAATATAGCATATATAAATACACTTACAGAGGGTACCCACCTGTTCCAGGTGGATACAGGAGCAGCCAACTGCTGACTCATGTTAGCAGGCTGAGAGCTTACCCTTCCCATAGCTCATGGTAAGCCTTACCCTGCTAGTTTTACACACAGGTGGGTACAGGAGCAGATGACTGCTGACTCCTGTTAGCAGGCTGAGAACTTTCCCTTCCCATAGCTCATGGTAAGCCTTACCCTACTAGTTTTACACACAGGTGGGTACAGGAGCAGATGACTGCTGACTCCTGTTAGCAGGCTGAGAGCTTTCCCTTCCCATAGCTCATGGTAAGCCTTACCCTACTAGTTTTACACACAGGTGGGTACAGGAGCAGACGACTGCTGACTCCTGTTAGCAGGCTGAGAACTTTCCCTTCCCTTAGCTCATGCTAAGGAAAGGGAAAGCTTCCCCTTAGCCTTACCCACTAGTTTCCCTGGAATACGAACTGCCAATCGTTTAATAACCAGGTGCCCAATCACTGCTGGCTGAACAGAGGCATAGGGTTAAGGATTGGTGCCTAGTCAATCCTCCCCAGCCAGGATACAAGCCCAGGCCAAATCCCTCAAGAAGCACGGGGCGAGTGTGTTACCACTATGCCACGGGGACCATTCTCTCCATCCGAAGATGGTGACTTCACCCATGGCTATGCACAAGTCTAATAAGGTTTCCCTGATCTTGTAGCATAATCTGATATCGTATGTTGGTTCTTGTACTATAGGCTGCAAATGCGAACAGCTATCCAAGGATGCCCCACACAATAGTAATCCATCCTGAAATAACGTGTTCATAATATCATGCACGTACATACGTGAGTCATTCATCATCTTGGGTGTGCGTGTTTGGATGGGAAAAATTCACCTTCTAACAAAAAGCCATCTGTCTGGAGGCAGTAACTAGTAGGGTGGCAGGTGAATCA